TGCAAAATTGTAGGAAGCTACTCCCGAGCTATTCAAAAATTGCCAGAGAACGAGGAGTTGTGGGTCTCTATGCAGGGCTCGACCCACACTGGACACGGCCTTTCCCGCCAATGCAGCCCTCTTTTTGGGTGTGGAAATGGGAAAGAAACTGTTTGACAAAGTGTTGTAAAGCGGAGGCGGATGAATGGAGTCATTGGAGATGGAGGAGATGCAAGCAACACGGTACAAAACTATACAAGCGATGCATGCATAAAATAGATTTTGCACCAGCTAGAGCAATGGATCTACTCTCGAGCCTACATACCACGTGCCTCGTGCAAACAACGTCTTCTCCCTGACTGCCATGGCAAGATTGCTTTCCTAAAAACTAGTCTACGTTTTACTGGCACAGCTATGTACCGGTAGCTCGTGGTGATTCCGTCGATGACTTTGCCGAACCGTCGACCACAAACATGGACATGACAAAACATCACCAAAGTGGCTGCAGATGGACCCATACTTTCTTGCGTTTACAACCGTTCTATCCACCGTAGGTATCGATAGGGACTCGTCACTCGTTCATCCTCAATGATTAGAATGATCGGGTATCGAAATGATCACTGATGGCTGTAGCAACTCGATCACGGCAGTTCCGAATTTTTGGCATGAAGATTTTGAAAGCCATGGCTAGCCTGGAGCAGTAAGATATTCGTGCCTTTGAATGAAAGCTACTATTAATAGTAGCTGACCACCACAAAAGCTCCACGGACTCTCAACCGCGGCCGGGGATCGGCTGTTAATACAAGTAGAAGTTTGTGAGAAACAAGGGTTCGACTGGAGTAGACGAAAGATACTTAGAGATGAACATCTGGCGGGTGGTACTTAGCTTAAGTATCCAAATGTACTGAAATGTCTATAGTAAACCTCTCGCGCAATAGTTTCACAAGATGCTTGAACACATCTTTCTAGCTTTGGCAACCCGCTCAATGCGTGGGGTGTGGTGGGGTGAGGGACGAAAAGCCATGTAAATCCAAGTCAAAAGGAGCCAGTTTTGTTGACAAACAAAGAGACGACCATGAGGATGCCAATTGCAGAGCCGTCCTGTTTAAAAAGAAGGCGAAGAACGAGACCTTCAAGACTCTTGAATGGAGCTTCAGTGCTGTGCTTGTTCGCAGGTCTCTGTTTGCCATGGTCAAGGCCATTGTCAGTTCTTGGCTTTGACTTGAACTTGAATGTGGATGTGGATGGGACTTCGACCTCGCATGGGTCTAGTAATACCCCTGGCCCAGGTGGTCCCCACCAGGGAAGTTACTTTCTGATTCATGGTGGTCATCGTCCTGAAGCGCTCAATCCTTCCAAATTGGACGCTGCCTTTAGTACCAACTTTTCCAGAAAAGCCATTGGATCAGATAAGGATGGATATTTCGACTTTGGACTTGGACCACGAAACGGGACTACTGGACAGTTGCTTTTCCATGAAAATGAATCTGGGAATGCCAGTAAAGCCAGCGGTGGCGCCAACCAGGATGCAAATCAATTCAAAGACGGAGAAGGAGCAAGTGGAAGCAACTCTTCCCGAAAGCAATTGGAAGCAATGCCAATGGGCTGTCCTACGATCCAGCTAACCAGGATCTGTCTGATCCCAATGCCAATCTATTCCAAGCCGGAGAAGGAGCGAGCGGAAGCAACTCTTCCCGAAAGGCAATCGGCAGCAATGCCAATGGGCTGTCCTACGATCCAGCCAACCAGGATCTGTCCGATCCCAATGCCAATCTTTTCCAAGATGGAGAAGGAGCAAGCGGAAGCAACTCTTCCAAAGGAGACCATGATGTCCCAGAGAACGCTACAACGTCAGGGGATGCTAAAAAGCCCGTCATAAATTCCAGCTTTCCAAACAAAGGAGTTCCACCAGCACCACTACCCAAGCCCAAACCTAATGTCACCACCGCAACGGAAACGGAGCCACCTATTCCAGATGAGGATACTCCTGCCATTGGATGGGACGACGAAGATAAGACCAACAAGAAAAGCCCCATCAACCCTCCAGGAACTTCCCTTCTCCACGGAATGGGACACATGTCCACTCACCAAAACACCCCAAGCAGTGTTACCAAGCCAGGAGGAAACAGCGTCGCTGCCAATGTCCCGCTCAATATTGGAACCGGTAGTGACATGTTCGATTTCAGCTTTTACAATCCTTTTGAAGTCAAGATTGTCGGAGGAGACATTGTCAGCAAGCAAAAGGCCAAGAGCAAGTACCCTTTCTATGCTCTGTGGCAAGATGCCAATTGTGGTGGCAGTGTTGTTCACGATGATAGTAAGTACAGTACTCGATCATTTGGGTGCCATTAGATTCGACTCTGCTTGGACGGACGCCTCCTTGCATGACCCTATCAAACGATTGTTTCTCATACTCCTTCACTGCTGTCTTCCAATCAACATCTACAGTCATTCTGACGGCGGCTCATTGTGGCTTTGAAGAGCTGGACAAAGTCAAACAGCAAAAGACATTCTACTTATTGACCACCAAGCACGGGCAAGGCATGAAACGCGAGCTTGTCGACACACGGTTGCACGAAGAATACGGGGCAGAGTATGGAAATGAAAACGACTTGCGCATTGTGCGCATCAGAGAATCGGCACTGGTCGAACCCTTTACGGACAAACCCACGGGGGTGGAACTCGTCGAGCTCAATAGAGATAGAAGAGTTCCTGAGGATGGGTCCGATCTCGAAATTGTCGGATTTGGGTTGACCGAGGAGGATGGAACCGCCATGTCAAAGGACTTGTACGATGTCACTGTACAGAAAGTGCCTTGGGAGACCTGCAACGATCAGTACGGTGATGATGTCATCATTGACAAGCTCATGATTTGCGCCGGAGCGGAAGGTGGTGGCAAAGATGCTTGTCAGGTAGGTTTGGAGTCTTACCAATGGTTTATCGAAAAGTCTTGGTCCGAACGAACCAACAATCTCTTTGTTCTTTCCTCCTTTTCAGGGTGACAGCGGCGGTCCAGTACTCGATAAGAAATCGCAAAAGCAGGTTGCTGTTGTTTCATTTGGCAATGGCTGCGCTAAGGCGGATTTTGCGGGAGGTAAGAGCAATGGAAGGAAACATGTCGAAGACTGGCGATCACCGTTAGAGCGGAAACCTATGCATGCCAAAGAATGGCTTGTCATGGTCATGTGGTTGGAGGCTGGGGACCGCGGCCTGTCCGTGCTCCGTTCGACGCATGATCCGACGTGTCTCTATATCTTGGCTGTTTCTTTTGTCATCTCACACTTTCTTCCTTTGCAGTCAACGTTCGTCTTAGTTCTGCTCTTGGCTGGATTGATGAGTCTATTTGCTGGCTGAGTCGGACCCCACCGGCAACGTGCCATCCTTACATTGCCAAGTGGGGGGATTGCATCGGAACCCTGATTGCCGCTGACATTGTCCTAACCGCGGGCAATTGTGGGCATTGGGAGACAGATCCACTCGTAAACAAGCAAGTCTCGTTCCCAGCTAACCCCAACATCAAACGGAATGTCGTCGAAAGAGCGGTGCCTCCAGAGTTCAACTACTACACCAAGGACGCCGACGTACAGCTTCTGAAACTGGAAACGAGTGCCCTCGTCGACGGCAAGCGGAGACGAGATACCGGCCTTTTCGTGGCGCCCCTTCGACGAAATACAAATACACCGCCGTTCGGGCTTTTCGAAGTCAGTACGCTGAATAATGCAAGGGTCAACGATGATGGTATCTCGAACTTGCAGCAGATTTCATTGGAGTCTGTCACTGGTAGTGCCTGTCCTGTCCCCAATGCTGTCGGCGACGACAAGATGTGCACGGTTGTGGCCCCGGATGGAGACAACCCCCAAGCACAAACATGCAAATCTCTCCCCGGTTCTCCCGTTCTGGACGACGACTGGAATGTTGTGGCCGTCAACAGTTTCGGCAAGACCTGTGATAATCCATCTCTTGGAGGCGCCAGTACCAAGATCTCGTCGGTAGGGACTTGGATCGATGCCAAGATCTGCGAATGGACCGACTACAGGAAGCCAAGTGAGGTACTCTGCAAGAGGTCCGCGATGAAAACCTCTTTCGAACAGAACGGACCGGGTGCCTTCGTCGTTACTGTGAAGCATGACAAGTTCCCTGAAGACGTGTCTTGGCGTCTGCTTCATGAAGCAAGTAGTACTGAGTTGTATTTCCAGGCCTACGACAAGGCTGACGAAGCATGTGTGACTGTCACCGAGCGTTTCGAGCACTTACCTGCGGGAACCTATCGCTTGGACATTAGCGATAAAGCAAGCACGTACGTGACACCGCTCAAGAAGCACACCGACACACCGACCCATTGGGAACACCGTGACATACTCACTTTTGCGAATACCTTTGCTAAACTGCTTTGTCTTGTCGCCTACACTTTCTCTGCTGCAGAGGTTTGTGTTGTGACTACGGATACGAATCCATCTCGATCAATAACATGGCAGGAGAGAGTATTTGGAAGCACAATAATGGCGCCGGCGAGTATCACGCAGTGGAAGTGCATGTCGATGCAGATGGTGCCGTGTCCGTCTCTGATGACTTGGACACATATATTACTCCAGGAGCCATCACAACGCAAGGAAATATGCGACTGTACACTCGCGATCCCGAGACTTTCGATACTCTCTGGCCGGGTCTATACCCCGATACGATGGGCAAATTGGTAGTCAATGTCAAGCTCGACATGTTTCCGGATGTAGGTTCAGCTGGCGCATGCAACCTATCCTTGTCCCTGACCTCTAGCAACTCTAAACCTCACGCTGTCTCCCACCATCATCAAACGTCGCAGGAAACAAGCTGGGACTTGGCATTGATAGACGGCGATTCCGAAACGAGCATGCTGTCGATGAAGGGCGGAATTGCGGGCGAGGTTTCATCCAACCCGGTCGACTTGGTACCAGGTGGCGTGTACGGCTTCTACGTTCGCGACGCAGGTGGTGAGTGGTTTTGCATGTTTGGCCTAGCCTGAGCCATAACGTGCCCCAACTCTTGCTCGCCTCTGGTATGTTCGACTGTGATTTCACACCTCTCCTCTTTGCCCTCCAGGCGATGGCATTTGCTGCAAATACCGCAACGGCTTCGTCACGCTCACCAAGAAAATCTCCGGACAGGAGAAAAAGGTGGCTTACCGGAACAACGGAGACTTTGGATCAGAGCTCGACGTCTACTTCCAGGTGTCTGAAGACGGAAGAACCATTGATATTTGCAAAACCAAGGGGTGCCAGTAGTGAGGCCAGGCAAGCATTCGTCTGTTGCGGCGGCTTCGGTTTGCCCCCACTGAAGATGTCAAATACGTACTGTACCACCTATTTCCGGTGGACAGGCCATGTTGTGTAAAGATCCTGTTCCAGACGCTTCTGGAGCTATAAGCAACTATAGAAGAACTACATTTGCATGCTTGTACTGTCCTCCTTTGCTACAGAGATAGCTTGCTCACTGGAGGATTGTCATCACTTTTGTTTCGAGTTTTCATCACTTTATGTTTATTGTTTGTTTCAGCAAAGCAGAGACGAGATCTCACGGCTACGAAAACAGTGTCAGAGGCAACCAAGACAGGCAACGATGCGTACGGGGGGTACTAGTCAAAACCCATTATCTCATGGTGTACATTGTTGTACTAAAAAGGTCTTACTATTGTCACTCTATGGCCCTCCTAATAGAAATCCTGGCCGATTCGATTGATTCGATCATGATTCGAGGACAGATTTTGGTATTTGCTCCCAGAGAAAGATGCTTCTGCGGTGTTCTGTTTCGTCTCCCATTTGCTGGAGTAGTTGTTGCATTCCTCTTTCGTAGGAATCCATAAAGTGATTTGGGAGGCTGTCTTTGGTGGGTATGACAAGATGCAAGTGTAGAAAGGTACTTCCCTGTGCCTTGACTGCATTGATTTCTCCAGTGGGCATATTCCAATGACGTCGTTCCCAGAGATAAATGACCTGGCCGGGAACATGAATTTGAGGAACGGTTTTGCCGTTGCTGCTGTCATTGTCGTTTTGCCGTTCGGAGTGAAGCGATTCTGTGTATTCGAGGGCATAGTGTACCATTTCATCCAATCGATCATCGGAAATGGCCATGGGTGCTTTTCGGAAGCCCAATGTGGTGGTGGCAGCAGCAACCAAGGCACCAAAGAGGGCCAGTTTCTTTCCACGATAGGCTTGTTCTTGTTCGTTCATGTGAGCCAAGATGCGGCAGGTAAAGACATAGTTGTCAACGCTGAGAGTGGGGACAACATCATCGTTCCAGACAATGGTGGAAATGTATGGGTCTATGGCATCGGAAGCTTCTTGATTGAGACAGGGAGGAGGTGCATATGCCCAAATGTGAAACTTGTTGGGGTTCTGCAGGGCGGGGATTTTGTTGAGGAAGATGGCCCCCATCAAGGTTGCCACAGCAGCTCCCAGAGAATGCCCCACAATTTCCAGGTTGTATCCTTCTCGTGTGACCAACCGCTGGACCAGTTCAATGCAGTCTTTGGAGAGTTGATTGGCGGCAGTGAGACATCCCTCATGAGACCAGATCTTTTCCAGTCCTTTGATGACAGGGGTATCATTCTTGTGTGTTGTTGTTGCTGTTGTTGTGAGATCTTGTCCCATGGTATTTCCAGCAGCATCTGTGAGCAAGTCTGACAATCCACAGGATCCTCTTGGTACAATGAGTAATCTTTTTTGTGTTTGATGAATGGCAATGTAGTGTGCAACTTTTCCAGGAGACGTGATTGGATCATGTTGAATGAGTAGGAATCCTTCTCTTCTGAGACATTCTTCTAGATTTTGGTAGTCCTTATGGAATGGATAAGCCCAATTAGCAAACTTTGCTCTTTCCAAGAGTCCCTCCAATTCAGTTCTGTCCACAGGATGCACTTTGTCATTGTTTCCATTGGCAGCCATGATTCTATCCAATGAATCATCTGACAATCGAGTGGCCAGCAGGGTTCTGTGTAGAACCACAATAATGTACGAGAAGAGCATTCTAGGCCACAATACGTGCCCAGCTTCTTCAGTTGGATTGTTGAATTTGTGGGTGACTTGAGTGACGACATCAAAGCAGTTTCTGATGCTGTCCCATAGGTCTCTTGGAGCTTCCTGTTTTTGATCCATACGCCCCACAATTTCATAAATGGTTCTTCCACTGGAATCTCTAGTTTTGGCTTTTGTCCAGGAAGGAGCTCTGGCCCAAGCAATGCCAGCAAAGACAATGTGGACAGAGATAAAGGCTATTGCAGAATACAAGCAAATTAGAACAATCATGGTGTATAGTTTGTGATGTGATTAGTGAAGTGATTAGTGAATGAGTTGGGTGTGGTTGGTGCTGATAGCGAGTTGTTTTTATTATGTTTTGAGAAGAGACCAAGGCAAAGAAAGAAAGGACTAGAAAGTAGATCCTGAAAGCAACTTGGTCCCTGGATACCATGTACCCTCTCCGCATTGTTCTTTGGCCTTTGAACTGCAACTGGATCTTTTGCATGGAAGTCAGGTTGCATGCAAAATTGCTGAAATTGTGACGTGCCAATCTTGGATGCAGCTCTGCCTGCGGGCGATGGCCTTTACCGAATGCTTTTCTGATACCTCCAACCCTACATGCCTTTTTAATCTCCAACCCTATTGTAAGCATGACAGAACGGCGAGGAACAGCCGCCACTGAGAAGCCTTTTTTATGGTTAAGTCGGGATTGAAGATTGATTCTCTAGCGCTGTAAGAAGCAGGTCTGACGGACCGGTTGCCGAACTGTGAAGAGGAAGAGGTGATTTCTTCTAAAGCCTTGTTTCAGTTTGCCGCCATGTCTTGAGGAAGGCTGCTCAAGATGGCTTTTAGGGCATAATGCCAAGGATTAATAAGAGTTCCAATAAGCCGTCATTCCGAAAACGTAAGATGACTACGCGTCAAACTATCCCTGCAGGTGAATTCCAAAAAGGGGTGAGAACCGATTTGATGACTTTTTGAAAAAGGGAGAAATCTAAAACTACCATCTATAACTAATACTAGTAGCTATGAGCTTTGTTGTATATATTGTGGTCTCCCAATCTTGACTGCCCATGTGTGATGTTTGCTGCATGTATCTCTTTTTGGAGACGGCAACCTAGTGAGTCACATGCCTTCTCTTTGTAAAACGTTTGTAGATTTCCGAGCGGTGGAACTCCGATGAACGCTGTTCGTTAAGGATTGAGTTGCATGCAAAGTAGACAGTGTCCGAATTGGAGTGCTTTGAGGGGCTGAGAGCAGCGGTATTGGCTCTCGTTCGGAGGAATGGTGAGGATCCGGAATGGAAGACCGGTCTCACACTTTGGTAGATACGGTAAATACCAAAGTTTACAAAAATGGTTTATAGTAAAATACAGCTTTAACTCCAAAATTACCTAAGCTACCTTTGTTGTCTTCCCGGATGTTGTATGTAGGTCCGCGACATCTGTTTGGGTCATAGGATCCGACCAGTAATCGTGAAACTGAGATGGTATCTTAAAGAATGATGTCGTGTTGCAGTGCCTAATGACTGTATTGTTAAGTACTAGGTTAGAGGTTTAAGTAATAAAGACTGATTTACTTATGATCGCGTGGAATCGGTGTGCAAGACTGGCACAGGAAAAATGCGGTTCTAAGTTTAGAAAGTGGAGGAGCATGATGTGGCGGATTGAGTATGCATATTGTAGTGGTTGAAATTCGTACAGAAAATTAGTCAGTGGTGAAAGCAAGAGTAGATCGTTCACTATTTTACTTTCAACCACCACCAGACCAAAAAACTCTCTCCTCTTCTCCATTAGACTAGCTAAGGACAATGAAGATGATGAAGATGCGATCACTGCCAGTAGTACCAGTATGCATAGCAGCTCTATTGCTACACTTAGCAGCACCAACAGAAGCTATTAGTATGACTCATACTACTAGTGCTAGCTACCAAATAAACTTTCTGCAAGAAGAGCAAGGAGAATCGAGATGTGAGAATGTGGAAGAATTCCAATCAGCTTATGAATCTCTCTATGAAGGTCTTCAATCTTATCTGGAGTTGAGGGCTTTCTCTACTACCACATCAAGTACTACTAGCAGTACATCTCTGTTGGACCTGGTAGAAGCTAGTAGATCAGAAGTAGAAGAAGTTTTTGTCAGTCCAGACCAAACAAGAATATCAGCAATTGGATCTGATGGAAGTTACTCTGCTCTTATGGGAGATCACTTGCAATTAAGAAGACAACAACAGCACACACTACAACAATCAGCAGAAGAAGAAGAAGAAGAAGATCTAGCAACAGACCTGTGTAGTCCAGTACAAGACTGCCTAGAGTTTGACTGGTGCTCCTCCCTCTGCACTCATCATTCTCAAAGAGCAAGAGCCACTAGAAGAGTCAGGAGAGCTTCTACCACTAGTAGCACTAGTACTACTGATCAGCAAGAGTCTGTCTGCCAATGGCTGGCAAGACAAGAACTTCCTGCTTGTCTGCAAGGAGCTACTATCATCTGCCAACAGCAACAGCAGCAACAACAACAACAACAGCAGCTATGATTGATCATGATCAGCTACCCACAGTTTTGTCTTTCTTCATACCCTCTCTCATAATTCATACCAACCCTTCCAAGCCTCCAATAGAAGCCAAAGAGAAGATCTCCCTTCCATCTCATCTCATCTTCTCTTTCTCTATCTATCTTACTACTACTACTACTACTACTCTACTGCAATCCAATACTGTATTCTAATACTAATACTACTGTAACATTACAAACCATACAATACAAGAACTTAAACTAATCTCATAACTCAAACTTACCAAACTCATCTATTATCATTACTATTATCATTATTACTAGCTAGTAGCCAGCTAGCATAGAACCATGACATGGCCGTAGCTACAGATCTTGAACGAGCTTGATCGGACTCGAGCGAACTTAGCCGGTGTAGCGCTAACGGTTCTTGATCTAAGAACCCAAAAGAGAACGCAACGCGACCACGTCCAAGACCAAGACTACATGTAGCTCTATGAGCGAACCGGTACCTACTCTGGCTAGAGCGAACCGGTGGTACAGTACCTACGAGGTTCAGGGCTCCCAGTAACCGTGACCATGACAATGAAACGAGACACCCAACATAGCGTTCAGCAGATCAACCACACCCTTGCTTCACTTTCTTTTCTCTGAGTAGACTACTGGACATGTACTACAAACAGCAAACTCATACAGTTCTATAGATAGCTACCGGTAGCTCTAGTTGCTGGCTACCGGTAGCTAGCGGTGGTTTTGTTTCTTAGCTAAAGCATTGCTCAGTCTACAAAAATCTATTGCTAACTTGCTAGTCTAACTCGGTATCATACTTACTATTTATCCAATCCCTCAGTCCGTTCGTCCTTCTTTTCTTCTCCACCTTTCTTGTCTGCCTTCAACTTGAAGTCGTTTTCTCCTTTGGTATTATTATTAATAGTATCAGCATCAGCATCAGCATGCGCATACTTGTCATTGTGCTTGGTGTTGCAGAGTTCCTCCCAATCGGGCCAAACTCTAGCTCGAAAGTGTTCCATAAACTGCACCAGATTGGGACAATGTTCCTTCAGGTACTGCTTCTGGGGAAAGTCCATGGGGATCCACAGAAACTGAGCCAAGTGGCCAAAGACGGCGCAATCGGCCAGAGTGGGAGACTCTCCACCTAAAAAGTACGTCTTGTCGTCGCCCAGTAGATCCGAAAGTGCCTGAAGGTCATCAAAAGAAAACTTCCAAATGGTCTCTTCAGGATGTCTGGCAATGCCTCTCTTGAGTGCCTTGTCCTTGATGGCGTCTGGAAGACCGTGTAGAAATCCCTGTGCATACACAGGACGACAAAATCGATCTTCAATCTCCAACGATTCCACAAACTTTGGCACTTCCAATCCATACCGATAGTAAAAGCCAATTTGGGCCGTGTGTTCTTCCAACATGCGCACAATCAGATGCGTCAATGCTCGATCGGCTGCACTGACAGTCACCGCATCTTCGCTCACACGGAACTCTTGCTTCAGACGATCCAAGCTCAGATTGGAATCGGGAATCTCTTCGCCCGTCTCCTTGTCACCAAAGCGACAGTACGGCAACGTACCGTACTTACTCACATTCGTTGTCCAAATCGTCTCGTGCGGAATTTCGTTGATTCGACAGAAACTCTCCAGTTTCAAACCAAATGGACAAATGCTGTACACATGAGGTACTGGAGGAAAGTTGAACACAAACACCTTCTTCTTATCCTCTTGATCTTGATTTTCATTGTCATTGTCATTGGTAGTACTAGCAGTAGAAGTAGACATCTTTATTAATTTTGGTTGGCTTTGCTTTTATGCATAGACTTGGGGTAGAATCCAAGAAATGGACTTGATCTATGGAGAAGCCGGACAAGTACTTGCTAGAGTAGACTAGATCTAACTTTGGATTTTGGATGCAAAAGAGGTTGATGCTACGGTACCGGTACCACTTTTCTGTGCAGCTTTGGGAATTGGGAAAAGAAGCACGAAGGCCATGACATGACATAGCTTCATGGATTATGTACCACCGGTACAGTCGTACCGTATGACACTCGAGCACTCGAGTAAAAGAAGCCAGATGCGATGACGTACCGGTACTAGTATCTCCAATTGTATAGAAAAGAAGGACGACTGACTGACGCACCTCCTTCTCCTTTTCCAACACTTTAGAGATCGCAAGGTACTGTACGTACTACTAGGCTTCACGAAGAGGCCATGGCGAACAGCGCCAACCAACGTACCGTATGTACCGGTACCGGTAAGGGTACCGGAGCCAGATGGTGTGTTCCCCTTGGCTTTGAATGAGACCCTCCTGGCTGCTGACACTTCCATTGGTTCCACAAAAGACTGCTGGTCCAGTGAACTATGCTTCCATCGACTGCTGACGGTCAGCAAGCAAGGTAGACTGCAACAACAAGGCATGGCTACAAGCCCCAAGAAGAATATTGTACGGGTAGAACAAAAGTAAGTGGAAATTCCATCATGACTTGGGGCAAAATCATGTAGTCAGTGGGATTCGAACCCACGCCAACGAAGACTAGAGCCTAAATCTAGCGCCTTAGACCACTCGGCCATGACTACGTTAAGAATTGTGTTGTAGTCAATGTATATATACCTGACTCTGTTGGTTTCCGAAAAATCCAATCATCCAGCTTGAGCTCCAGTGTCCAGAGACAAAGTCCGAAGCGACGAATTGACAGCTAAGTTCTACAGTATAGAGCCGGCAATGAAAGATGGGTTGACTGGTGGATGATGAGCAAACGTAAATACTATACAGGTTAATGTTATATGGTACAAAAGGCTACTTGCTAGCTTTGCTGGAGATCAGGCAGGAAGAAGGAAGAAAGAAGCTGCAGGTGCAATCAGCCATTGTTTTCAGTACGCGAGTAGTCGTAGTTCGTACTTGTCTCGGATCGAGTCTGTCACACTCGCTTCCTCATCGTCGTTGTCCTCTGAATTGCTCGTGGATGTAGCCATGGTGCTTCGTCGCTTGGAACTATCAAAGTACATGACAGCGGGAGAGTCGATCTCACCCCAAGAGCAATCGTCTAGTAGTTCTTGGCTCATTCCCATCATGCTCACTTCACATGTAGGTGTCTGATATTCTGCTGGCAGCATCAATGCGGGGGCGTCGTCAGATTCACTGCTACTTACAGACATACTAGTATTGAAAAACGAGTCTGATCTTGAAGTTCCAAGCCCAGCTCCCACGGACGATGATTGCCTTTGGCGTCGAGGGCTACTTCTTGCAGCGGACGTAGTACTGGTACCGGTAGTAGCTGATTCTTTCTTGGGAACCGAAAAGGCAGGGTAGACAGGTTCGATGGTGCATGATTGGGAACAAACCTCCGATGGTTCATTGAGCGCCGGGGGGTGAGCTTGCTGATGGCTAACATCATCAATGATGTTGGTGGGAAGGGAGGACTGAGATTGGCATTGACCCATGGTGGCTTGGTTTTGATGATTTAAAAAGGTTGAAGGTATGTGTGGTTTGCTTTTGGTTGAAAACAAAATTTGTGAGGATGATTGCTAAGAACCTAGAAGATACCGAACCCTGGTGTGCCAGTGTGCCAGTGGGGCTGGAAAGGAAGTGAAGTCCTCAGGCGGACTGACACTCCTGTTCTATCCAGCGGTACCGTTGCTTGCATATATTATTGTCTTAGTCTTAGTTAGTTAGTTAGTTGTAGTTCAATGGCTCTTTGGCTGTTTGGCTGTTTGGCAATCTTGCATTGGCTCTTGCGTTTTTCCCCTGCAACTGCAACTGCGGGTGTTGTCTCTACCTGTGACCCTGTGTGACAACCGGAAGCCCAAAGCCACCCATCATCTATCTTTGTTTTGGAGTGACGGTTTCGGTGGAACATGCCTCCCTTGACTCCCCCATCTCTTCAATGAAGTCTCTCTTGGTTCGGAACACATGCAAGGTCCGGGAACGCCACTACAATTGTTTTTGACTGTTTCAAAAGTGTGAAATTAGTTCTGTCAAAAGTGCGCAATTAGAACTTCATGAAACTACATGCATGAATAGTCTACATTAAATTTTATTTTCTCAGCGTGGAAACTAAGACTGTTTTATTAAACAAAAGGAAATTAGAAAGGTAACATTATTTCGTCAAGTTCTAAAGTACTCGAGTAGTGGTTTCCGGACGCTGATCAAAACGAAACAGGAAGTGACTTGGGGAACAGCAAAATGCCCATCAGAAGAGAAGGTAAAGAGTGGAAATAAATCCTGAGCGCTTTTCCTGGCATTGGAGAAGCCTATGCACAAGCCAAGGAGGGTTTACTCCTTTAATCGTTTGCAAACTGAGTCATGCACACATATGTCATTTCAAGCTAATCTTCTATGTTCTCAAGCTGTTCTCCAATCCATTTTTCAACTTTCTTTGATACTCTTTAATCATGACTGGGGGGTAGAGGCCCTTTCGGAGAACAACCAAAATGTCATATAGAGTTTTGTGTACGCTGGAGTTCTCAGGGATTTTGCACAGACACCAAAGACATCAGAGTTCTTACTGCTACAGCTCTGCTACTAGCTGGCTAGAGCTAGCTAGTAGCTAGAGAGCTAGCCAGAGAGTACTAGTAGAACTTGGAGCTGGCAGTAACTCTGTAACTGTTCGCATTGTTGGAATGGCTGGGTGTCAATGTGTCAATGTTGCATTGCCGTTTCCCCTTCTCGCCACCTCATCATTGCAAGGGGCTACTACAGTAGCACTAGTACAGTTAGCTGGCAACCTTATAAGGGCTGACAGTTGCGGTTTGAATGCAATAAAATACAGCCTCGTGGACTAGGTAAATCGCAATACCGGTTTCATACCTGGCTGCGAGTGTGAAAGTCAAGGAAAAGTGGGTTGCGCTGCCAGTGTTGCCTTCCTGTGTGTGTTTCAAGCAAACTGCACTTACATGTACTTTAAATCCATCCTCACGGCCAGGATCAAGCAAACCGCTCTGAACTTGGACACGGTACCATGGTACGATACCGGTGAAGCAACTGAGTCAACCGGAATGGGGCAGGGGGGTGAAACGATTACTGGAGTAGAGCTTCGAAGGGTGGCTGGTGGAGGGATACCGGAGCTATCTTCTTGACAGGTAGCTACATGTTACATGTACATGTACTGTACCGGTACAATGATCAATGATACCCGAGTGGCGGGTCCTCTAAATTTGGCCAGCTGGTGAGTGCTACCCAATCCACTGGCTTCTAGGTTTCTTTTTGATAATGAATAGTGATGATGTGTCACGTGACACACCCAATTTAGGCAAACCCTCACCTTCAAGCCTCTAAGAATTGGACACTAAGTCTTTTTTGCTGGCTTATTTTGTTGTTGGGTGGTGGCAGGATCTTTCATTATTTTTGTGTAGCGTCATCGCCGATCTGTTCGACTACATGTAATAGCACTGCTCTGTTCTGGTTGTTTTCTTGTGTGACCAATTACAATTAGATAAGTCCACTCCACTCCATGTACAAGCAATTGCAACAATAGAAGTGAGGTCAGGTCAGGTCAAGTCTATCATACAGGCTAGCTATCATAGGAATTGACTTGTGATTGTATCCCTGTGGTCTTCTATAATTCTAAACGGTGCCTAAGGAAAGAAGCATCGCCACGATCACTTTTTTCGCACAAAGTACGATACGCAATCGACCTCGATAGTTCAAGCTTGTGTTCAGTACGGACGGCATCACCATGAGCGACAGCAACGGCGTCATTTTTCCAGAAGACGTCCCAGACGATGACGTTGATCCCGTTGCGCCTGAAGCTGCTCAAGATTCAGAGGAAGACGAAGAATTGGCTCCAGTCAAGTTTCCGGAAGACATTAACGACGACGAAGAAGAAAACGACGACGAGCAATGGGACGACGAAGATCAGGAAAACGGCGGCGGTGACGACGAGGAAGATTGGCAAGATGCAGAAGAAGGCGGAGAGCAAGATCAGGACGAAGATTGGCAAGATTCAGGAGATGATCCGCCAGAGTCTGATGATCTAGCAGCAGAACAAGCTCAGAACAATGACAATGACAACGACGAGGACAACGGCGAGGACGAGGACAACGACGAAGACTGGAACGATGATTCTGCAGCCAATCAGGACGAGCAAGATTGGAATGACGAGCAAGAAGAGACTCAAGATCAGGAACCAGAAAACCAAGATGAAAGCTGGAATGACGAGGATGACCAACAGCAAGCTCAGGACGCAGATGAAGCTCAGGTGGAGCAAGATGAAAGCTGGAATGATGAACAGGAACCAGAACAATCCAATGAAGATCAGGATGAAGATCAGGATCAGGATGAATCGGAAGATCAGGAAGAAGAATCTCCCACCAACGACCCGTCAGAACAACCTGAAGAAGACCCATCTGTATTTGGACATATCGTTAACAATTTCGTATCGGATCAAGAAGACGAAGACGACAATTCATCCGACAGCCCTGAAGGGGGGGAAGAAGAACACGACGACAATACCGGTAGCGAACAGGAGGATAGAGCGGCTGCTTCATTGCCCGTAGAAGATGTTCATGTCGAGGACGAAGCAGAAATTGATGCCACATCTGAACATTCTCAAGAACCAGACGATAATTCTCGAGATGATTCAAAAGAAGACGATTTCGTAGAAAATGAACCAGAGGATACCTTTCAAGACGAGGACGCACTCGAGGGGGAAGAAGAAGATTTCCAGGACGAAGAAGATGAAGATAATGGTGACAATGGCAACAAAGCTGCCGCTGTGGGAGCCGCAGCAGCTGTTGGAACTGCGGCCGCTGTGGCTGCTGCCAAGGAGGGCGACGATGACAGTGATGATGATGACAAACAAGAGGAAGAATTGGAAGGCGCCGAAGACAAACCCTTGCTGGGAGAAGACGGTGAAAATAGTGTAGAAGATCCGCTCGCAGACCCCGAACAACCAGGAGAAGACGAGGAGGATATTGAAAAAGAGCAAGAGGAAGCGGAACAAGAGGAGGAGAAAAAGGGAGGTTTCTGTGGCTTTTGCAGAAATTGTTGTTTGGGCTGCAGTACGGCCATCTTGGCACTGGGGACAGTCGGAATTGCTCTCGCATGCTGCCTCCTTTGTGCCGCCATTATTCTCCCGATTCTGCTCATTGTATGGCTCGTCGGGGGCTTTAGTAGTGGCGACGACAGCGCAGATGTACCCTCGCCCGCACCCACCGCAAACAAAGATATCCCATCGACGGAATATATTTTGCCACTTCCCGAGGAAACCATTGCTGCCATTGAGGCCGATCCAAATTCTCCACAGGCACAGGCGTATGATTGGCTCAAGGAAGATCCAGCAGTTGACGATTACTCCGATGAACGAAAGATGCAACGATTCGCATTGGCAAGCATGTTCAATGCACTGCAAGGAGATGAATGGAGCAATAACGAAAATTGGTTGTCTACAGACCCAGAAGTATCGGAGTGTCAGTGGTGGTTCAACACCACAGCATTTGCCAAACGTAACAACCTCACTGCCGACGAATGGAATGTTTGCCAGTCGGTCGAACTGGAAGAGACATCAGAAGGAGAACAAGCTACAGCAACCCAACGGAGCAGCAATATCTTTGATCATCAAAACCAGGGCAAGATTCCAATCCAAAGAGGTCTCCGTTCCTCCCAAGGGAATGCACAAGGACAAAGACAACAGCTAAAATCATCCAGATCTCTGCTACGCCGACAATTGCAAAAAGCTGACGTATCCTCCAATCCACAAATTCAACACTTTCTCCTTTCGGAAAACGGCATGAATGGCAGTATCCCCCCAGAGCTTGCCTTCTTGTCAAGGCTCGTCGTCATTGACATGTCCAAAAACGATCTTTCGAAAGGAGTCATCCCCAGTCAAGTTGGGACTTTGGGAAGTACCCTAAAAGAACTGTACTTGCAGGAGACCAAATTGGAGGGATCCATTCCAACCGAGGTTGGAGATCTCACAACGCTAGAGTTCCTTGTGGCGCACACGGATTCCTTGTCTGGATCGATCGTTTCGGAAATTGGATTGATGCAAAACCTAAAATTTTTGGAGCTGTCCAAGAACCAACTTACTGGGAGCATCCCAAGTGAGATCGGATTGCTGACCAATCTTGAATCACTGTCCTTGGCTGAAAACCGATTGAGTGGCACGGTACGAACTTTGTTTTAATGATTGAGTTGATGCGAGATTGAGACTTTTGTTCTAACAAACTGATTCTGTATGCAAATGGCCGTAGATTCCCGTGGAGATTGCAGATTTGATTGTGAACCATTCCCTGAAGGAAATTGCCATCTACTTGAATGACTTCACAGGCTTCATTCCAAGCGAACTGTGTGCGGTGCTCGGTATTCCTTGTAGAACGAGTAGACAAAAGTTATGTGGTTGCGACTGCGTGTGTACAGATCCTCCAAGCCCCACGGCTACTCCGAGCGGAAACATCACAGCAAATGTCACCAGGCCGCCAACTTTGGAAGGAGGAGGAGATGTAGTGGATGGAAACGCCACTGGTTTCCCTCAGGTAAGGTGTAGTAGGTTATCCAGCCTTGCGTCACTCCTTGGAAGGGCCCGGAAAATACATGCTGCGTGCTCATTACGTTCTGCTCGTTTGCTTGCACCCTTTGCGAAACAACCAAAACAATCCACTACTGTGTTGGAACAATATTCCGTGCTCCTGAAATTTGATGCCAATGCTGACCTCCAGCCACCATTCAAGCCAGGCTCTCCGACGGCGGCTCCGGCTGGTGTACCCTCAGAACCCACAGCAGTGCCCCAACCATCAGCACCACAACCCACTGCAACACCCGGAGATGGTGATACACTTGCTCCGTCTGCAGGAACCACTCCTGGGGTTCCCTCGGCTGGAGGCACTCCCGAACCAGCAACACAATCACCTTCCCTCGGACCGGGCGTTGGCACTCAAATTCCCCGGCCCACCGTAGTCCCTAATAGCACTTTAGCTCCCACAGTTTTGGGACTTGGAACTCAGAATCCTCGGCCCACAGGCCCTGGCGAGACATTTGCTCCGACGATCCCAGGAGCGACGTTACCACCTGGAACCACCTTCCCACCTGGGACTACACTCCCTCCTGGGGCAACCGCATCTCCCGGCGCCTCTCTGATGCCGACGGTTCCAGGAGCGACGTTCCTTCCGGGGACAACTGCGCCTCCTGCGTCGGGAGCAACATCATCTCCAGACGCAACAATGAGTCCCACTCTTTTAGGTGGATTGTCAAATGCAACAGGGTCTCCAGGATTTTCAAATGCAACTGGAGCCCCTGGATCCACCGCTTCCCCCGGGTCCACAAATGCAACTGGAGCTCCCGGGGCGACTTCCTCCCCAGGAACAACAGATGCCCCAGGGACAACAGGTGCCCCAGGCGCTACACCGTCACCTGGATCCACTTTGGCTCCAACGACAGCGGGCATGACTCTGAGTCCAACACTCAGCGTTGGGAATGAAACAGTGCTGGGGCTCCCCGGAAACGGAAGTGGGACCATGGGCCCCACCGATTTCTTGGGAACAGACCCTCCTGGATCAACCGGAGTTCCAACTGGAATGGGCGAAACAGTGACAATGAGCCCAACGGTTGCTGGCGCCGGAAACGAAACCGTAATGAGTTTACCAGCCGACAACGCTACAGGGGGTATCATTCCACCTGTGAGTCAGAATGCCACGCAAGGCACTGATGGCGGAGCGAATGCAACAAATGCCACGGTGATATAGATAGAATCACATGGTTGATCTAGAGCACTGAAGCTATGAAGACAAAACTTGAGCTCCCGGGCGCCCTGGTGCGAGAAAAAGTCGTGGGCAACAATCATTGAAAGGCTGCCTTTGTTCATCAGGGCTGTGAGCCTTTCGTAAAAGTGATAGACCCTCGTGATAGACTTAGATATAGTGCTTCCGCACCCTACGAAGTAGTTTTCAGCAGCGAGGCAGTTATGGCCCGACTTCACATGTGTTTCGGGATAGGCGAGGGCAGTCCCTGTCGCAGCGTTTATGCCGCCTCGAAAACCTCGCCAGAGTCTATCTCTCTTACGATTTGAGCAGATCCAAAGGACGACGAAGACGAGAGGAAAGAGTTGAAATTTCACTTCCTTGAGCCTTCTATCTCACAATCTGAAGATAGCAGAACTTGAAATTAGTCGAATCCATTCTGAAGGCATCACAAAACCCCCTCCTAGCAATCAATACATTGGCCCTCATCAATCAAGCCCTGGCCAAGATGCCCTCCTACACCCTGGCGGGAGCCTTCAATGCTCACTCGCTCCTCCCGGGCCTGTCGATCAAGTGTTCTGCGGGTGTGACGATTGAAGCAAACAGTATTGCTTTGCCCTTATTTCATTATGATGGTCTTGGGTGACTCAAGCTTCAAGGAACCCAAGCAAAGCATCATTCACAGCAAGTATCTCGCAACGATCATCAAGGTCGTCGACCGTCGATTACCCCCACCTAGACAAGATGGATATCCCGGATGTAAAGAGACATGGAATCGCACGTCCATGACCTGCTTCGTCTTGTGGATGCCCGCTGGCTACTTCGAGCTTCCGGAGCTTGACAGCAAGCCAAGCAACGTATGTTGGCGGCAGTTGATCAGGATCCCGCCTTGCTGCTCCCCTCTACCGAAAGCAATTAACGTTCGAAAGGAATTAACCTGAGCTCATCCATTGTAACTACATGCATGTATTTGTCCCCGGGCTGTCTTTAGACATGACATTGTGTTTGTGCGCGTATGATTGGAGAGGCATGTAGTCCAAAAGGAGACGAGAAAGATCTTGTCGTATCCATTGCTATAGCTAGCTAGACGGGATAACTTCCAGATCTTTAGCTAGTTGGTTTTCATATCGATTTGGTGATTTGGCTGAGGTTCTTTGTGAAGGTCAGAAGTTCAGAACGTCACGCCTCACCCTTCCTGGCTGGATCCACTCATGCTGATAGTAGAAACATTGTCCACGATTATTCTCTCCCGAAAGACATACTTGTAGGAAACGTGATCCAGACCTGTCGTCATGTGCACCATCTCCCCAAATCCCTCTTCGATCCAGGACAACAGCAAATATAGATCCACCGAGAACGTTACGCTGTCTTTGGGCCACGCGAAACCATTGCTCGTGCTTTCTCGAGTAATCTTCCTGACTTCAAAAGAAGGCCCTCCTCTCAAGAATGCGTCAGCGTTCAACTCCACCAGCTTCTTGACTATATAGTCCCTCACTGTGTGCGGAGCACTGAGCTCAAATTTCGACACGGTCAACTCCTTTTCAGTCTGCCACACAAGAATTGCTAGACCCATTCTATACCGTATCACCTACCGAAAATGGAAATCACTTATTGATGATCAACAGTTATTACTTTCTTCTTTCGTGTCTGACAGGGCGCTGATGGCCAGCATCATGGTCACATTCTTCGACCAGCATGTTGGCAGCTTATCTTGCTTCGGTGTGGTCGTGGAGACGGGTGCCTGCAAGGGCCAATTTTGGTGGGGCAAAGGCGGCCAACACCAAAACGTTGGAAATGTCGGCCAAAATGTGAACGGCTCCACCCCTTTTCGTTGACTTCCCTCTATGCGTAGCAAATACATATGTAACTTCAAGATAAGTTAAATCCTGGAGCAGTGCTCCTTTTCTCAATCTTCAACTATTCATATTCGAAGCACTGTACTGGTACCGATAGCCACCGGTACGGTACCGGTACGAAGTCTTTTCTTCCACGCACCGGTACCGGTACAGGTACCGGTAGTTCTTCGTGGAGGCCACTGGTTGTGCGATCGAACAAAGTAGGCTTGACGACAAACTTTTCTTAAAATGAAGAATAGGAATATCTAGGTTACGCCATCCAAACACCAAATCGACCTCTTGTTTGCTATGATTCTTCCGGCTTTGCTTTGGTGGGACAATGCTCCATGGGGAACGCACACTTGTGTGGATGCGATTGTTCTTGTGGCACGTCTTCGGAAGAAGAGTACTGGCGAACAGCACTGGAGGAGTGTAAGTATGTCATTTCCCCCGGTTCGCCGCCGCCCCCACACGTGTCCAGTTCTTGCATCAATCTCCGCAAGTGCTCTGCGACCAAATTGGACATGGCAGCTTCTCCCATAATCACGAGACTCATGAGACATCCAAATGAGATCAACACGACCAATGGTTGAGCCGAGACGTGTTCCAGTATAATGAAATCGACGAGCTGTGGTGCGAGTACGGCGACTATCATGATGGTCCACCACAAGACTTTGAGTCGATAGAGTTTTGGAGGATCGTCCTTGTTGGGGTGTCTTCCAAAACCAAATGAGTACGATCGAATCATTTGTACCGACAGCATGTTCATGGACAGTCCCCACACGATGAGTCTTCTCGTGTCTTGATCAATGGGTTGTAAGGGTGCTTTGAACATGAGAAGATGGGCTCGTTTGATGCCAATGGATGTCCCCAAGAGACAGAATTGTTTGAAGAAATTGGTAAAGTACCATAGATATCCAAAGACGACGGATCGTCGGAGTGCATGATCGTCATCGTTGGGCAGAATGTGGAACTAGCCATATGCATATCATATATGAAGACGAACAAGAGTGTTGGATTCGGTACTGTATGTTTGTGTACGATAGAGCGCTGCAACAATGAATTGACATACCTCTTGCAGTGCCATGGCATAAATCATCCATAGAGTGGAAGCGAGTGCAATGTAGAAATGTGTTTGTTTCTTTGCCTCGCTGTACGGCTGCAGAATGATAGCGAAGATAGCTTCTCCAAAAATGACCATGGTAACTTCCTTGATGCGATCAGCATAACTTTGAATGTGAATGGGTATTCGTTGCTCTTTGTTGAGAGCCAGGAGGAAGAATAATCCCGCCCAATCCCAAAAGGAGGAAATGATGAGAAGGGTTCGAAAGGTTTCGTATGGACAAGTGATCGCCCATAGCATGAGAGCAATATTGACACAGTGTGAGACTGCCCGTACGAGTATGTGAGTTCTGGCGCGTTTAACGTAAATGAGTGGTCTTGCATAGAGTACCAATAATCCAATTTTTGCGAGAATGATTCCATTGGCGAGTACTTTGTAGTTCTCTTCCAATTCTCCCACACAACCTGCCGTGGTCGCCGCAAGTCCAAATGCATGAACAAAGAAGGAGATGTGTCCAATGAAGCTTTCGTCTTCAAACATGGAAGTAAACTCGTTGAGAAAGTTCCAGGGATTGACCACAGACACAAACTGCAGCAATGCACACAGCCACAAGTGCTTGATGGGAGTCAGCAAAAACAACTCCTGCTCATGGACAGTGTCACTAGTGCCATCAGTGCCATCAGTACTACCTTGCACTTCCTGAAGAAACCTAAGTTCTTCTCCTTCAGGTTCTTCAGCTTCTTCAAAAGGTTCTGCAATGGCATTCAAGGCAGCCACTACCATCAGATCATAGAACAGAGAAGTCCAGTGCGTCTCGCGTTCATGTTGCTCTGTTCCCCAGTCCTGGGTCAGACGAGGAATGCCAAAGATGGGACGAAATGACATCTTGCTCCTGCCTACTATGGTAGCTACGGTATCTACTAGCTAGCTTCAAGCTTTTCTTCCTCCTGTCAATGCTCTAGTTTCGGATTTCGGAGATGTCATCTTTTGGATCAAAGAAGCTTAGAATTCTCCGGAACAAATCCAATCGAATCGAATCGAATCGAAGGAGTCGAAGATCCGTACCGGTACCGATGCGATGACCCGAGGGTCATAAGCAATGGATGAGGTATTCCTCGTGATTTGAGGGTATCTTTGGATCCCTCTTTCTTCCATCCAGGCCACGGCCACCACGAACACAGACAAGATACCTACTAGAGACTAGGTAGTACTACACTGTAGTAGTCTAGATGCATGGCAGTGATGAGCAACGAGGACCAGGACCCTCCACTCTGATACTAATAAGTAAACTAGCAACAGAAGACTAAGCTTGAATGGCAAGCAGGTGTGATCCCAGCCATGACGTCTCAAGGTACATTGTACCGGTAGGATCAACCGTTGTTGTTGGAACCAAGAACCGAGGAATGACTGTCACTCGACCCGTTGCAAGGTACAGAATAATAATATGTACAATTGAGGCCATCGCTCGGTACTCAGCATTGTTGGGGCCATAATCATCTAGCAGCTAGCAGCTGGCAGCTCTCCAGCTAAGTGCTGCTCCGGTAAAACTGACCTGAGACTTGAGATTGGTATGCGTATGAGCTGCCTGTTGTGAGATCAGGCTACTACTACAGCAAGCAAAGACGCACAATACCACCGAGAGCAACCTATCATAGCTAGGAGATGGATTGGTGACCTAAAGCCTAGCTAGCTTTTGCACCAAAAAATGTTGTACTTGATGTGAGCCTGCGACACCAGCCAACATGTTGGACATCCAACATCCAATGCCAATTACATAGAGGAAGGTCGGACGGATATCGGATGGGAATCGGATATTTCGGCATCTCTGACTGCCAACATTTAAAAAAGAACGAGCCTCAGATTTGCAAACTGTGGAACTTCGTGCGAAAGAAGCTATTAGCTGGCTAGCTAGCAAGGACCAAATGAAAAGGTTCGATACTAGCAAGCTATCTAGAAGAACCCAACATGCTGACCAAGGGTGTCGAAGGTGTCCAGGGTGCCGAGGCGGGGCAAAAGGCTCTGGACATCGAAGAGAGCTCGACAATGAGTGAGACGTTGCCTTGTGATTCTATGGAACTCGAAGATGATGACACCGATAATCAGATCTCTGATCCTAGTTGTACAAGTACCGATATGGACCTGGAAGAAGCAGACAAGGAAAACCAGGAGCCTGAGCAAGATGCTTGTCCTTTCTTTGACATTGTACTGGTCCGCTTACTGGAGCATTTGAAAGCCATGGAAAATGACATAGATGACGATTCTCTTGACGAGCCCAATGCTGAACCTAAGTTCAATGGTTATGGTGAAGGAATTGACAAAGCCAAGTGTCTCTGGCAACAAATCAAGCTGGCCTTGGACAACGCAAAGCCGCCAATGAGCGAAGATCCATGCGTTGTCAATCTCCTGGTCTCGGTGGGAGAAACCCTCGAAGCGGAATCGATGCAAATTGAGGAGATTCAATCTCTTCAATCCAAGCTGATGGAGGTGCTGGACATCATGCGTCCTCTTGATGTGGACAAGTTGTGTTCCCTGCTCAAGGAACATGCCCCTACCTGCGAACTAGTCGATGGAAAAAACATAATTCTTCTGCTGGGCGACTCTGGAGCTGGCAAAACTACTACCATGCTTTACTTGACAGGTGTGACTTTTGATGAAGTGGAGGAGGAGGGCGAGTTCCATCTACGACCAGTCGAATTCCCTGATCCAAAGCTCGCCCAGTTTCGCACTGGCGGTGGATCATCTTCTATGACAAAGACACTCCAGTGTGTAGAGGTCACGACAGATGAGCAGCATATCGTGCTGTGTGATGTTCCTGGGTTCCGAGATACCGCCGGAGCTGAAGTTGATATTGCCAACGGACTTGGCATAGTTCGTGCTATCCAACGAGCAAAAGGAGTGAAGCTGGTTCTGGTTCTTAGTCAGGCCGGAATAGGTGATCGCTTTCAGGGCTTAAACGAAACGCTTGATTCCATCACTCGGCTTATGGTGAATGACTTTGACTCTGCCTGTGCGGAGGCGTTTGGCTATCTGTTTACCAAATTCGAACCAAAGCACGGGCCTGTCCTGCACAAGAAGTTTCGCTCTGCCGCAGCCAAGAAAGAGGTCTTCAAGGGGTTACGTGCTCTCTTGGAGGACATGGCCACAAAAACTAACCCTCGAGCCCAACTTGTGAACCCGCTGGATGGAAAAGCGCAAGACTTAGTGAGAGTTTTGTGTGCAGGAAGCAGCTTCTTGGACCCGAAAACTTCATTCAAGGAGTTCACGACAGAAAGCGCGAGCAACAAGCTGCAGCTGCAATTGCAATACTTGAAATCTGCTTTCGACGATGCTCTGCAGCGGATGGATTTCTGCATTGCAACCCGTTGCTTGAAGCAATTGGAGCAACTTGCCGATGTGTTGTCTGAAGCAAAGGCGTCCTACAGGCAAGTCTCGGCATCGGCGGTGCACTTCCTGGACGAGGCTCGCCAGAAGGTTTCTTCCTGCGCCCAGCGTTTCCGCAATGTTGTGGAACATGATACCTTCGCTGACGATCTCGAAGCCTTGAAAGCAGCAACTGACGAACTGCGAACCATCGAGTCCTTCAGAGATGAATGCTTTCCCAATGAGCTAAGCGTGAGCATCTTTTGCGACGGCGTCATTGGTGATGTTGTCGCTGCAAGTGGTAGGCGCCTACTCCGGTACGACCCAAGTCTATCAATGGAAGACATCTTGAGACTTCTCGACAGCTTCGCAGGAGACCTGAGACGGCTCAGAGAAGCCCATCAAACCTTCCCAGAATCAAATTGTAGTCAAAGCAGTTATCTCCGTGGCGTGGACCAGTATACTGCCATAGCATCCCGAATCGTTGGAGCGGCCGAAGCCTCCTTGCAGCTATGTCCAATCGATCTGCATGCCTTTTTCAAAATGGCAGAAGCGCATGAGACTCTTCGAAACCAGTTTGTCCTTCTCGATCCTGCAAGTGAGAGTGTCAAATCTATGGAATGGCTCCAACAACATCTCATGGATATGGTTCAAAGCAAAGTTGCGTCATCAATCAACGACATCTCCACCCAAACAGCAAGTCTTAAAGATGGAGTCAAAGTACTCCTGGGTCGCGACGAACCGTCGTGCCTCCCTCCCTTGAATCTGTTTAGTTTGAAAGAGTCACGAGATCTGCTCTCTGCTTTCGCTGAGGCATCGGGTCAATTTCACGACTTTGTAGCTGTTTCCGACGGTGATATCCAAAGTGCATTGCAAAATCTTGATTCTACAGTGATAGAGAATTTTAGTTTGATCTTGGAGCATAGCAGAAAGAGTTTGGCACGCATCAAGTTGGAAGAGGAGGCGAATGGTTTGATGGAAACCCACAACAGACTGGAGAATCTGCGTGGTTTGTGCTTGCGCATCAAGGAAACTTTTTGTGGCCTTGAACGGTGGCCTGGTCGGGTTCGCCAGGAGGGACTTCCCCTTTTCGAAAACCTGAATGCTCACCAACACGCTCTCCATGAGTAAGTTTTTTGTTTTGTTTTTCGTCCGGACAAAACTTTGCTTCTAACTCCAATTGCCTCTTTTCCAGATACAATGCAAAGCTGGAAGGTCAAATTGATGAAGCAAGGAAGGAAATGGCTGACGTTGCCAGTCAAGCCAAGGCTTTCTTGCACCGCCTCCAGACGGAGGTCAACAACACTGCTGGCATCTTGGAGGAACTCAGCCGCGATGAATATTGGCCCATGTGGGAAGAAAAGCGAAAGGAGACAAGTGGGCTTTCAAAGAAACAGCAGGTAGAGAAGAAAGGCTTCTGGGGGGCCGTCGGTGCCGTTCTTGGCTTTGGTGACGATACTGCTTCACAAGCAACATGCAACGAAGATGCTCTCGACCAAACACTCAACGAGATTATCGTTGTGCTCCAAGGCTATCTCGCCTTGGCGATGAGATCGCTGTGCGGAGTTCAGTGGGGAACGCTGAGTTGCAGTCAATTGCTGTCTGTATTCTTTGGGCAAGCAACACCCGAGATTGTGCTCTGTTTGACCTTCATGAGGCTTCAGCACGAAAAGCACTCTCTTGGAAAAGCAATTCTTGCCCACAGAAATGGCTCAGGGATCATGACCAGTCTCACCAAAACAGAAGGGGCCATGGCGTTTGCCCTGAAGCAGCTGATTGTCCAGTCTCAGAAACTGCTATGCTCACATCTCCTGGTGGAAACTGAGCAGCTCCTGGTGCTTCTAAAGAAGAATTCCCACGTAATTGAATCCTTCCGCGTCCTGCTATCATGCGATGGCTTTCTCCAACCTACAAGCAGTCAACGCAACCGAGATGCCTTCATTGAAAGTATCAATGGATGTCCAGATTACGAAAGGTTGAGGAGCAAAGCCATCGCAACAGCCGTCGAAATCGAATCTCGGTTCAACCTGCTCTCATTGATCGACGAACGACGCATTCTGAGTGCCAACGAATTTGATCGATCGAGCTTCTATCGATCACTTCGCTCTCAACTACAGGCGGCTGCTTGTGTCAGTTGTCTTGCTCCGCACGCAATGGATGACACAACCCGTGCCAAGCTCCACACGCTAGCACTTGTCGTTGTCCCTGCGCTTGTGAGGGAAACGGAAAAGATTGGATTGGAAATAAACAAGATTATGTCGCGTTTTCCCAACGCTCTTCCGGAGCTGTCCCTGTTGAACATTTGGCTAGGCAATCTGTCCACGATAAAAACAATTTTTGAAGACGACGCTCCAGCTGTGGCTGAGCGAGCCCGAAAATTGAGGAGAGAAGCTGAGTCCTCTCTAGCAGAAAATCTCGACACAATTGCGGAAGCACCGTCACCCGTTCTTGCAGAGCTTGTCCCTCAGCTAATTCGCTTGAAGAAGGTCTCCTCTGAAATTGGATACTGGCAGGCGAAAATTGATCGATGCATTGATAAGGTTATTTCGCGGGCATCGTCGGCTGCACCTAACACTGGACGATTCATCCTCGACTTATCTGTTGCTCTAAAGAAGGTCGAGGAGGACGACGAAGCCGTTGTACATCAAATCTTATCACAGCACGAATGTTTTGGTGGAGCAATGAATGCTGTTTTCAATGCTGCAACAGCAAGGCAAGGCATTGATTATGTGGTCAGAGGACTTGGTTTTACGAAGGAGCAAAGCAATCGACTCAAGCGCCTGTACAACGACTTTGGCAGAGAGTACAGCACCGCTGTAAGGGATGGATTATTGGAGGTGCTCGATGGTGACACGGACGTGAAGGAGCAATTCTTTGAAAGCCTTTACCATGATGCTGCTTCCGTTGCTTCCGATTTGGCCACAGACTATGAGGCTCAGTTGACTTCCCTCTGTGCGCTGCTTTTTGCATATTGGTCTCTCAGCAAAACAAACAGCTTTGTCCTCCAGCATCAAAATGACAGGAACTTTCTCAGCGGTGAAGACCCAATGAACTTCCTGCGAAAGCCCCATGCCGCTCAAGTCGTAGCAGTACTATCGTTGTTGAACTTTCAAGAATCTCGGCTACAAGTGCTGAAGAGCCACATGTGTGAGCTAAAAACTGGTGAAGGCAAATCGATTGTTTTGGGCATCACTGCCACCATCTTAGGGATGCTGGGATGTACTGTCGACTGTGTTTGCTACAGCCGCTACCTCAGCGACCGCGATTACAAGGACTTCGTTGACATGTTCCGGCGCTTTCGTGTCCAAGGTTGTGTGCGTTATAACAGCATTGGCAACTTTTGCAGTCGTATGGTGTTTCAGCGCTACAAAGCTCTTGAGCTTGCTGAGAATGTCCTGCTCCGAAAACCGAACCGTCCGAACCTCGATCGAGGTCGTGGCACCTTAAGGTTGAAGGTCCTGCTTGTGGACGAAGTCGACGTTTTCTTTAAAGAGGACTTCTTCGGAAGAACATACAACCCCCTTTGGTCCCACAACACCCCGGAGGTGTCAGATTTGGCCCACTACATTTGGGACAACATCAATACTCTTTGTCATGACAACTTGCTGTTTGCGCTCCCAGCTCAGAAGGTAGTACGAAGGTTTCCTTCAGAGGTGCAGCCATTGATTGAACAACAGATTCGGCACATGCTTGATGACGCTCAAATTGTGTCAACCGGACGAAATGAAAAGTACTGCATTGTGGACGACGAAATTGCCTATAAAGAACTTGACGGTCTAACCACCAATACTCGGTATGGGTACCAGACGCTATTTGCATACATCAAAGAACACGAAGAGGGCAAAATCAAGAACTTGGCAGACAATCTTTATGTGCAGGTAATGTGTGTGAAATTCTCTTATGCAGAGCTCCCAGCAGGCTTCGACGCAATCTTGGGCGTCACTGGCACCTTGTCAGGTTTTGGAGACCTCAAAATGGACATTTTGAAGAATTCTTATGGGATACAGCATTTTTCACACATCCCTTCTGTGTATGGCAAAAACAAGCTGACATTTGCTGGTGACTGCCCTCGAGGTGAGTTCTGAATGCATAGATAAAGTCATCAAGTGACGACGCAACATGGGCTGCCGCACTAACCATCAAACACCGTTCTCTGTGATTGCAGACGTCATCCTTTGCGACTCCACAGATGACCATCACCTGGAAATTCGAAGCGAGATCGATCGAAGGCGTAAGCCTCTCAATGGAGTGGAAGGAGTTCTGCGACCCGTGATGGTGTTCTTTGCCTGCAGACGTGACATGGAAGCGTTCTATTCATCCGAGCACATGAAAGCCTTTCGGGAGAGCAATGCCGTTCGAATGGTTTCCGAAGAAACCGATCCATCGGAAAAGCAAAGTGCTTTTACCAAGGCCACCGAGTCTGGAGCCATTACACTGTTCATCCGAGAGTACGGACGTGGTACCGATTTCAAGTGCTTTGATAGCAAGGTGCTCCAAGCTGGAGGTGCACACGTCATTCAATCATTCTTTGCTGTTGACATTGCTGAAGAACTGCAATTGAAGGGGCGAACTGCTAGGCAAGGTGCGGAAGGTTCCTTCAGGTAAGATGTGTATTGGGAATTTACGAAGTCAAATCGAGACAAGTGCAAATCTGACAAGACTGCTTGTTCGTCTCCAGTATGGTCCTGCATGTAAAAGATCTGAAGGGTGATCTTGGTGTCACACGCAGGGACGTCGAAACCATGCAAAACGAGTCAAAGTTCTATTCAATTCTGGATGAGCGACGAACGAGCATCGCTCAGAAGAAGCTTGACTCGGTGAGCGAGAAAGTGGAACATGCAGAGAATTTGCATTACCGAAGTGTTGCATTCGTGAAGGCTGCAAGGGAGGGTCGTCGTGAGGAGGCCCTGGACTTTTTGTTTGAAATGAACTCTGTGTCAGGGCGTGGTCGCAAATCATTTGTGGGCAACAATGAGAAACCAAGGTTCCTTGCAGAGCGGGAAGCACGCTTGAAAACACACCTTGAACGTCAAAGAGAACGACGCCGGTCTGCAGAGGAGTCAGCACCTGAATGTAAACTCCCACAAGTTCTCCTTCTCGAAGACAAGGACACAAGCCACTACGGTGTTCTTGGCGTTTCGCACAATGCCACGAAGATGGAGATCTCTCGGGCCTTTCGTCGACTCGCCAAGATTCATCACCCAGACAAGAGCTCGGTAAGCATCGACCATCGTATTTGCATGCATCTTGCTTGATTTCTTTGCCTGCTTACCCACTGATTGCTTCATCGTCAGCATGAAAATGCGAATGAAATCTTCTGCCGTATCAAGGAGGCCCGGAATGTCCTGTTGAACGATGAAAAACGAGCTGCCTATGATCGAGAGCTTGAACGCAACAATGATGAATGATCAATCGGAATAGGGCGGCTCTAGCTAGCTGCCTATGATAGTTTCCCCACCCAAGATTTTCAGCTTAAGACGTTACAGTACAGTCGTAGGCAAGCATACTGTAATGGCGAATTCTTCTGTTTTCGAGCTTACTTGGAGCTACCGGTCGGTTTACCTTCTAGCTTCTAAATCTTCGAGGTAGTTGTCAGTGGTGTGCCCCCCGACCAGCTCTAGGCCTGCCAAGTATGCATAGTGTGGCTAGTAATAGATAGTCCTTTGATCGTTAGCCATCATCAGCGTGCCAGCCATCATGGTCTCCAACCTTGCTATGGGCGAACGTGGAATTGTGGCTACTGGTATGGATGAATCAATGTAGTGCAAAGATCCCACTGGTGAAATCGCCAGCTACCGGTACCGGTATGCTTAGCTAGCTCGAATTGCCACCCTCCTTTCAGAATCCATTGATCGTTGACCTGGATCAGCTATTTGGTCTTCCGCCTTCTATCTTGCACGTGGAAGTACACCGTGGATTTGGTCTCCAATCGAATGATGAATCAAATTGTGAGAAAGTGGTGAGGTCGGCCGCAAGCTTTCCGTTCAGAAGAGCCTGCAAGAGTTAAGTCTTGGCAAGATTTCTAATTACGGTATGTTTAAATTTCAAATCCTGGCCGAAAATTGCTGTTGGTTGTTGATTGGTTTGTCACCTGTCCTGATCTAAATAATATAATGCTGTAATTTAATGACATCACAAAGCATTTGACCAAAACATTCTTTGTGATTTTATATAAACTTGGTATCTTGATTATATGAAACCCGAACTATCAGTTCCCACGATGGCCCCGATGCAGGTCTCATTATTTTTTCTTGCACCAAAGAAAGCGACAATGAAGATGACGATGGTGTCCCTTTTGCAAGTAATAGTCTTTCTTCTGTCAGTCAGTGCGGTAGAGAGTTCGTCCCTCCGTGGTCTTGAGGGTATTCATACCGGTAAGGATGAAGCAACGTTGGAAGAGCAAGAGCAAGAGCAACGGCAGCTCCAAAATGGGTACTACCGCTACGGCTGCGATCGAGTATTGAGCGCTCAGCTTTTTGATCCTTCGTCGAATCGCTGCGGGCAGTCTGCGTGTGGCAGCGTGACTTTTCGGTGTCCCTCTGAGTGGAGCGGCTTTACGGAGATTTCGTATTCCATCAGGGGATTGACTCCCGGAAAACACGCGCTTCATGTACACCAATTCGCCGTAGGCACTGGAGGTGACTCGTCTTGTTTGTCTACTGGAGGACACTGGAATCCTCAGCACAACAATCACGGAGGAAATCTCAAGTAAGTCAACTTAATTAATCACGCAGCTACCAAGCTATGTTTGATTTGCTCAAGAGGCATCCAAGCTAACCCTTACCACTTACACCCCTTATCCACACTCATACGTCTTACGTTCTGTGCAGTGCCCAGAGACACATTGGAGACCTCGGTAACATTTTGGCAGATGATTCTGGTCTAGCCGAAGGTACTCTGTTGGCTTATGTTCCTCTCCGTGGAAACCTAGGTATCAATGGAAAAGCTGTCGTTGTACACGCTGGAACAGATGACCTCGGAACTGGCGGAGATGATGGATCTAGGTCGGTCGGAAATGCAGGAGCAAGACCTGGTTGTGGTACCATCAACTTGAGAGTCTACTAGCTCTCTTTCTTACTACCGTAGTCACCACCGAGAAGGTACCAGTATGGTTCTCCTTGAGCTACCGTACGATTGATTCCGGAACCGCCCCAAATGGTACCAGGCCATCAAACTAATAGTTTTATGGCCGTCATAGTCTTGTGCTGTGGTTCTACATCAGCCATTGAGAGACAGCTACCGGTGGGGTACCATCTTTTAGCTGCAGCTTATCTGCAATTCTGTGCATGCTTTAACTTTAGGAGATTGATTCATAAAACCAAATTATTAGAACGTAGTAGAAACTTGATGAACATCTACTTCGTTGAGTAGCATGCTGCTACTTGCTACCGGTACAGCCGGAACCTCGATGACTGTATCTGCTATGCCGAACCATTGATAGAAGATGTGTGATACTAGGACTGTCACTCGGCTGAATAAAGCTACGATGGAGCTCCCGATAGATCTAGACTAGCTAGACTTTGCTTCTCGAAAATCAGCAGGGGTACTTTACGGCATTCATTCAATCAATCTAAAGCAAGATAGTCTAGCCAGTGCTGCACGATTTCAGAACCAGCCATCTCGAAGGGCTCGTGCTTCAGTTGGAATTGAATCAATAATGTAGACTAACCGTAGAGATTGAGGTCATTTCCGTCAGTACAGTACATGTATCAACATCGTCGGCTTAATTTTCGCCGTCATCAAGAACGTGAAGCGTGCTGAAAGTATCGCGGCGGCTGGCCACCAAAGTAGGCAAATCATCAAGATTGGTACGGTATTGGCTTGCAAGACCTTTCTCTCCGACGTCTTGGTCGCGTCCTGGATCGACTTGGACTTGTCATTGTGATTGTCCTCGTGGATGGAACAGGCAGCCAGCCAAGAGGGTGTTCAGCATCTCCTCCAAAGCTATCGACTTATCCAGCCTAGGCTTCTCGAGGCAGCATCATTGCCAACGCCATACGGTCGTGGACCACCCCAGTATCAGCAACCCGCTACTATCATGAGCTCGTTGCGGTTGTTGGGCAAAACAGAGTAAGTGTGATTGAATCTTCAATCGAATGATGAATCATTCAACTCAATTCAACTCGACTCGACTGTCACTCGATAGCTCATTGGACCACCACCCAAGCGTTCCTTCCCGTGTCCTCTGATCTCGACATCTCGACAACGCTGCTCGATCGCTCGGGCAGTTCCAAGTTCGGTGAGGTCACTCGATTTAATGAGAAAGAAGGCCCCCCGGCTTGCTTTCAGAAGCTTTGTTTGAAAGCTATATCTTGAACAGGGCAGGATCTCTGTCTGCCATGGCGGAAATATTCGGGAAGCAACGAGTACACCATGTATCTCTCCACTCCGGTGGCTCGACTCGTCACTGCTCCTGCACTGTAGTGGTGGGCGCGAAGAAGGTGCGAAGACCCAGCCGGCGGTGGTTCGGTAGCTACAGTAGTTAGGTTGCCACCAAAGCATTGCCGGATGCTACCCTTTAGTATCTACTAGCTAGCTAGCTAGTATGGCAGCGAGATATCTCCCTGGGACGGGGAAGGCAATGAGCTCTGGTTTCAGTTTCAGTCTCGTTGTAGCGTTTGTGTCATAGCAGCAACCTGGCAAGTTGATTGGAAAGGCCCCAAGCAAGGAGGCAGGCATTGGCTGGTTAACTCCCGCGAGAGAAGTCTGCAAGGGCATGATTGGATTAGTCTTGAAAACTGGTTGAGTGGTCATCCTGTCTTGCAGGGCTTAAAACGCTTTGAGTTTATGAAATGACCAGGACCAAGAAGGATGACGGTTGAAAAATTACGAGGCACCGCACCTTTACCGTATTCGTGAATGCTGGTGCGCCCCCGCCATAAAAAATCAGGCATCCGCTACAAGCTTCCCCCAAGCCAACAACGTCTCTCCAAACAATCCCAAGGCAATCTCAAGGCACTGCTGGCACTGATAGCAACCGTCCCTTGAGGCTTTCAAGGCTCCAAGACCAGTTTGTCTAGCTAGCTATTAATACTAGCTATTAGTCTTAGGCGGAGTCCACAAAACACAAAAACCAGAAGAACTAAGAAGATCAGGTCATTTCAAGTTGCTTTTTAAGTCAAGCTCAGTCCAGTTGTTAAGAGAAAGCAAGATGGTATCCTTCAGCAATGTAAGCCTTGCGCAGCGCACTCTGGTATTCCTACTGCTGGTAACAACCTGTGTTTTGAACTACCAAGGCTTCAAGTGGCTGAATCTGTGGAAACAAGATCATTCGGACAAATTGGAGGCTTTTAGACAAAAATCAAAAAGGAGACTGAATGCTCCTCACAAAGACAATCAACATAAGCTAAGGCAAAAGAGTCAGAAGAATCAGAAGTCTGATGCTAATGATGCTCTCCAAGAATTCCAGCTAGCTGCTGCCAAGGATCTAGATCAGAATGATCAGGGGGACAAGCAACAGCAACAGCAGGAGAAGCAACAGCAACAGCAAGTAGGCAAACCAGGCAAAGAGACTCCCAACAAACTACAAGAAGAGAAGAAGAAAGCACATGGCCATGGCAAGGAGAGAGTGGCAAAGAAGAAACAGCCTGAAGAGAACACGGTTGTCTCAGACGCTACAGCAGTAACACCTCCTGCTACATCTGATGCTGCTACCAATCACAACAAGCCACAAGAAGAAAAGAAACAGTCTGATGCTCATTCTGAGGTTGATTCTGATGCAGGCAAAGCCAACAACTCAAGCCCCAAAAAGAATTCAAGAAACAAGCAAGCCAAACAGGAGGACACCACAGCCACAACCACAACCACAACCACAACCACAACCACAACTACCCCTCCCGCTGCTTCTGAAGCAGACCATCCCGACAAACCACAAGAAAAGAAAGGAGGAGGTCGACAAAAGAAAGGAGCAAACAAACCTGCAAAAGAGGACACAGCGGTTTCTGATGCTGTGACTACCACTCCTCCTGCTACTACTTCTACTTCGGATGCCACTCCTACTCCTGAAGCGGAAACACACAAAGCTGACAAGCCACAAGAAAAGAAAGCAGCAAGAAACAAGCAGAATGCCGACACTGACACGACAACTGACCCTCCCGCAAAGTCCGATGCTAAGTCCGATGCCGATGCCAACACTTCTCCTGCCGCCACTTCCGATGCTCAGGCCGCACAAGCAGACAAATCCACCAAGCCAGAAGATAAGAAAGCAGGTGGCCGCGGCAAGCAGAACGAACCCAAGAAACAATCTGAAGAGAACACTTCTAGTACTGTGGTCTCAGACACAACAACAACAACTCCTCCCGCTACTTCTGACACGGCTGTTGCAGATTCAAAGGCAGGCCAGTCCGAAAAACAAGAAGAAAAGAAAGGAGGCGGCAAGAAGAAGAAACAACAATCGAAAAAGGATACTGCTGCCTCAGACACCGCCACGGCTGATCCTCCTGCAGCTGCCGTTGCCGATGCTACTGATTCTGCTACCACATCTTCTGCTGCTGCTGCTACTGCTACAACCGCTCCTCCTGTTGCCACTTCTGATGCTATGGCTTCTGATGCCATGGCTTCTGATGCCAACCCCACCGAAGCAGACAAATCCAACAAGGCAGAAGATAAGAAGAAGGCACATGGCCATGGCAAGGAGAGAGTCGCAAAGAAGAAACAAAGCCAAGAGAATGCTGTTGTTGAGGACGCTACTACAGCAACACCTCCTGCTACTTCCGATGCCAACAGTTCCCCTACGGACACTTTGGATGCTGATGCGGTTCCCACTCCTTCAACAGGCCAATCCGACAAACCAGAAGAAAAGAAAGGGCGCGGCAACAAGACACCGGCAAAGGAACAATCCAAAAAGAACAGTGCTGCCACAGACACCACAGACACCACCACAACTCCTCCTCCCGTCACTGCCGATGCCGCTGCCGCTGCCACTGATTCTGCTACGGCGTCTTCTACGGATGCCAACCCCACTGAAGTAGACAAATCCAACAAGGCAGAAGCTAAGAAGAAAGAAGGCGGACATGGCAAGGAGAGTGTCACAGAGAAGAAACAGCCCGAAGAGAAAAATGTTGTCTCAGACTCTACAAGTACTCCTCCCACTACTACTGAATCTGCTGTTGCGAATTCTGATCCAGCCTCTCCTGATGCCGTTCTCGCTTTTATGGCAGGCCAAGGCAAGCAGAATTCCCAGGAAGGAAAACAGCAAGAGCAGAATCAAAAGCAACGGGATGAGCTTCTACAGAAACTTCAAAAGGATAATCCAACCACTCCGCCTCCTGCCGCTGTCCATCTCGACCACTCGATGATGATTGTGGACATTTTGTCGATTGGTTCCAAGTCCTTGCCCGAGCTGCAAGCTGCTCAGAAGGAAACATTTGGCTCCCATCCCAATGTTCGCATCTTTTATGCCGCTCAAGAAGTCGATGACGTTGATCCCGAGTGCCATTCCAAACTCACCAACGAACAAATCGTGCAAGTCTCGCGATTCTGCCGCAAGGAACAACCACCTGAAGAAGGAGATTTCCCAGCACGGAAACGGAAACGCGAAGAAATGCTCAAAGAAGTCAAGTACCCATGGCTATTCGACATTCAACGACACTTTGCTGGGGAAAAGAAACTACTCGAAAAGAAAAACCCGGCAGGATGGCTATGTGCACAGAAACGACCCATCAGTGCCTTGGCCAAACTCATGAGACGATACCAAGAACTCAGTCTGGCACTTCCCGACTATCTCTTCATTGTTGATGACGACACCTTCATCAACATTGACAACGTGCTCGACTATCTACTCCAAAACAATCCACCCAATGAACTCAATGCTGTCGCTGGATGTCTCTACAGCATGAAAGACGAAAACATGTCACTACCCTATGGAGGATTTGGAACGATTCTCTCCAGGGAATCATTGCGTCATGCCGTGAGGCCACTACAATGCAGCGACGACAAGAAAACAGATGAAAAGATGGAAAACGAAGAACCACCCAGCTCCGTCACCGACTTTGACCATTTCGCCTGCCAACGACTCAACGAGAATCGAGTCAACGAGAAGCATCTATTCCAACCAGGCATGAACTTGATTGAGCTCTTCGAGTCCTACGCCATACACCAACGGTTTAGAGACATTAACAACTGGAGCGAAGCGGGATTCTGCTTCCATTCCGATACCTTCCTCGGATACCTCGTCAATACCTACGAACTGGGACGCAAAGAACCCGATCACGCAGTGACCCAGGTGGTGCCCGTCAACCACTTTCAAACCTACGACAATTCCGTCTTCTACTATGGATTCGGATCTCCGAGAAAGGAAAAGACTGGAAGGCAATGCTTCGATGTTAAGTACAATTGCAACCCCGAAAGTCACATTTGCCATTACCTGCCACCGGAACGCATGCGTGGGCTCTACCGACGATCTAGAGAAGCCGCCGGCCGCGGTCCAGAGGATGGTCGAATCGCCATCAAGCAAGACATGAAAGCAGTGGGACCTCCGGCAACAGCGACAGCAAAGGACGATGACACAACAAAGTGAAGAACGTGACGAAACAAGTTCTTCGATTATAAGTGGGAGTCAACACTGTAGGCAGAGGAATAAGCAGCTGACCGAGCTGCAAGCAAACTCATGTCCAAGCCATCGTGGTGGTGGCAGTGGTCGGAAAGATTTGTCAGCGGGGAAGCGACAAGTCTCGAATTTGGAAGAAAACTGGGATTACAGATGAATTAATCCCTTATTGCATCTTGGATCCAACCAACCAAAGCAACTGAGCTCTTCACCTGCGAATAAAATTCTACAGTAGACAATTTGCTATAGATATTCATTACTCGATACCGATATACTGGCTTGCAGACCTTGCTAACCTTCCTGCCTTGTCTCCTTTTTCATTGACCATGCTTCGTCGGCTCAAGGTTGGTTGTTCGCGTTCGGGTGCTTCAAAAGTTGCCCCAGCCATGAGTCAGTTCTTCTTTTTGGCGGTTGGTTTGCTCCAGTCTCGCCAATATATCTCATGTCTTGCTCCCACTCTAGCTAGATTCTTTGCTGATTCTGATTCGATTCAAGCTGTATCGAGTACTTTAGACTAGCTAGCAACGAACTGAAGAATGTGCCACAAACCCGAGCAATGACTAATTTAACCCTGTCTCTCTTACGATATTAATGCACCGTCCGGACGAGAGATTTGCCTTTGAAGATTGATCTAGCTAGGATGTAGCTCTGGCACATGACGTGGTTTGGTTGGAATGACACTTTGGAACTCTAGATCTACAAGTCTTGGTCCTCCACAGTAATAGTTGGGAACACTGGCGGTTCCAAGCCCCCGGCTCGCAAGGATCCCTCCTTGCTATATTCCACTTCCATTCCATGCTCTGTCTTGTCATATATGATCAACACTTGTACTGGTTCCTTTCCGACGTCGTGTTGATCGTGCAGTTGCCATCCAATACTGAGAAGATCTTGTAGTGCTTGTTCGGTGCCAACGTTGGCACTCCAAATCTCTTGTTCCACTCGTTGGCGTCCGTGAATCATGGCAGCCAACAACCACAGAATAGTGAAACCAATCGTCGAGCACAAGACAACCAAGCCGACCGTGGCGCTTGTAGTTCTTTTGTTATTGGGTGTAGTCTCCAATGGTGCGTTGTAGGTTCCGGGACGTGTCGACTGGTAGGGATGGTGATAGTAGATTCGGGGTTGCAATCACCGCTTCTTCCTGGTACACAGCTGGAATTGCCCGGTCTATCGCTGTTGTTGCTACTGTCCAGATGTGGCGGTGGAAATGGACGATGTATCCAGTTGCCCCCCTGCAAGATCAAATCTTGTTCTTCTCCTGGCATGGCAACTGCAATGGCCTGATCTCCTTGTAGTTTTTGCAAGAGTTCGTTGGTGACTTGAATGTGAAAGTTGACCCATTGATGCATCTGTTCTTCAATGAGCTGTAGCGTTTGCGGATCCTCCATGGGAATGATGGTCCCATCCTGGTCTCTAGTGTAACACCTGTAATATATTGGATGCAAGTACCAACGAGCCAGTGGTGGATCTGCAGTGTGTGTTGTTGTTGTTGTTGTTGCCGTTGATTTTGGCATAGTGGTACTATTAATAATAGTAGTACTAGTAGAAGAGAATCTGTGAATAGGAATCGGATTGGCTGGTTTCTGCACTAGCTCCCAAAAGAAGGCATGATCTTGTCGTTGTCTCTGAAAGGTTGGCGTGTATCGTGTGAAGAATACCAGGGCTTGATCTGTAGGGATGATGTTTGGAATTTCGTTGGTGGGGAATCGTTCGAGGAGTTGCTGTGCTAGAGCGGCAGAACTGGGTTGCTCTGAATAGTCGTATTGATCTAGAAGGTGAGCTAGGAGTTCGTGGCTTCGGAGGGCGGATGTGACGTTCAATAGCTTGGAGATTGCTCTGGCAACTTGCTTCTTGGGAACGGCCTTTTGAAAGCTTGGAGGTCTGGCAACACTGACAGCCACCCTGGCAATGTTTTGAAGCAGTGAATCTTCGGATTCTTCTTCATAAGCAGGGGTGTAGTGGGCATACGACTGACTATTAATAGCAGTTGTGCTAGCAGTAGCAGTGCTTGTACCGGTGGTGCCTGAATAGTATGAAGCTAAGAGTGGATCTGGGTCTGGGGAACCAAAAGGAGAATCTGCAGAAGATGACATTGAAGCTTGTCCTGCTGTTGTTGAAGCTGCCTGATCTTGTGGAAGGGGAGGATCTTGAGGAGGGGGGAGGGGAGGAGGACTTGAATTGACTGAATAAGTGTCATTGTCATCCGGACTTGCAAAATATCTGCATGGAGCAGGAGACCGAGTTTCATTGTAAATATGCATACCGGTATCAGTACTGCCAGTGCTACCGTGGTAGTTGGAGCATGACACATCATACTGATGATCAGGATGGTACTTCTCTGTCTGTCCAATCCTCCGTCTTCTCAGGTACCGGTATTGATACCGTTGTTGGTGTTGGTGTTGGTGTCTTTGGACACTCAAATGTGGAGAGTGACAGTCAACAGGTCCAAAGAGACCTACTAAGATTACGAGAAATTGAAGCACCCGTAATGACATGGTCCACCGTGACACTACTGGGGCATGTACATGTGCATGTAGTTGTGTCATCTACCGTCGAAGTACTCTTTGGGAGAAGTTTGTTCCAAGAATGATCCATCGCAGCCACTTGGCAAGGATGAGTGACAATTGCAATGCTGTGACAAGAGACAAAAATCAAATGAAAGATTGGCAGCGTGACGGTTGGAACTTCTTCGAAAACTCAATCAATGCGTCACGTCTTGCGTCATAATGATGTGGCACTTTGCTTGCTTGGAGCAACTCTTGGCGCCAACTCCAACCGCCACGGCAATAAGCCAGTCGAGTGGATGAAAGCTTTTCTTGGGAGAATCCTGAAGTTTTCTAAAGACCACTGACTACCGGTAGCTAGCTAGGAATACGAAATATCCAGCTAGAGGACTAGCTAGCTAGAGAAGCGGTGCGATACTAGTACATTTAGTATGCAGAGGGACTGAGGACCTTTATGTCCCACCTTGCCCGCTCCTATGCATAGTGGACTGATGCTTCGCTTGTTCGTCAGGGAGGAGAAAGAAACTATGCTACTATTAATTAAAATAGTACGCCATCTTTCCAACTACATGTAGCTAGGTATCATCGATGGAGACAGCATTCCCTGCCGCTAGTCTATTTCACGTTCTGTTGGCGGATTGGACTGCCTTACCTGTGGTTACCTAACATGGATGGATCTGGTACATCATGTAGCTTTCGTGATTGGAGATTGCTAGCTAGCTCTCTAGATTGGTTGTTGTTATCTAATTAGAGATCCCGCCGGTATCTTGTTTGCACTCCCATGGGAAGACAGGGTCGAGAGATCCCATGTGCATTGGATTTTGTCGAAAAAATTAGTTTTTATTGTTGAACCCAGTGAGTCTGTCCGCCGTATTTGTTGCGAAAAAAGTGGCAGCAATCTTGCGCAGCACAAACTAAGGCGAAGCTCTGTTTCTAATTTTGGCCTTTGACAGAGCCATGCATAGATAGTCTGTCGTTTGCTTGGCCAATATTGTCCTTTCTATTCTGTTAGCGGGTCATTCACTCCATCCACTCCATCCTCTGTATCAGACCAGACAGCATCAGGAACCAAGCAAAAGCGCTTCAGAAGCTACCCATCCCATCCATCTACCCATCTAGCTACCGTATCTACCTGATCAGGGGTATATACCCATCTGGTTAACCAAGAGGATAGGCACAACCATATCTAGAGCAGTTGCAAGTCCCACTTCCGATTATCTTATCATTATCAGGCTGAGGTGTATCATACTCATACTACTAGTAGTAGAGGATATCGATGTCTACTTGAAAACCCGACTTTCTTATGAGATTTGAATTTCAAAGGCTTTTCTATACAACAACTACCAAGACAACTTTAGAAGACAAGTACAAAAGCAACAGCCAATTCAGCAACGCCATTCTAGATCTTACCCACACAAACACAAACAGCAAGATCAAGACTAGCAAGATCAAAGTCTCTCTGTCATTTCCATTTGAATTCAAGTCAACTCGATTTGGACCTTATCATCTGATCTATCAGTCAGTCAGTCAGTCAGTCATCAATCTACCCAGCTGAGCTTCCTTAGCTGATCTTGTTCCATCTTCCTCAGCTGATCCTGATCAATCATCAATCTACTTTCTTCTGATCATCCTTGGCTTGGCCTGATCAGCATCATCATCTTCCTGATCCTCTGATCTTTCCCATCTGATCCTCTGATTCATCATCTTCAAACCTCTTGATCTTCATTCTTCATTCTGAACAATCAGATTCTGATCATGGTCCTCAATCCACATCATCGTCTACAGAGACTCCTCTGTCTGGTCTTGCTGACTGCTTCAGTCACCGCTCAAGGTAATCTCAGAGAGAGTGCACCCAGAGCGTCTTCCGAATACAGATTCAATAGCAACAGCAACAACAACACCGGTACCGGTACAAACATCGATTTAGAGGTTTCCATGCCAGATGATGACGGATTCGCCACTCCCATTCAAGTCAAAATTGACCCATTCTCCATTGTACTATCACCAACCAACAATGCAAGACCACTATCACTCGTTGACACCGAAATCATTCTGGGCATTCTAGAAGATCTAATCACTGACTATGCCAGAACACACTACCATGGAGACGAACAGTACAATGAACCAGACGACACCACAACAACAACCACAACTACAACCAGTAGAAACACACCCAAAGAATCGGACGTACAGTTCAAGTACGCCATTCTAGGACTCGTTTCCATACCAACACACCCAGAAGAACATGTCAAGTATAGAGAGACTACAGCGCTAGATTTCTCAGGTGGCATTGCATACTTTTCTACCAAAAACGCTGAAAGTGGCGGAGTCGTTGAGGTACCTTCGTCCGCTGAAATGGAACTACTCGTTGCACTTGCACTCAGCGAAGAAAACGACCTCGTCAAGGCACTGCAAGTTAACTTCCCATACGTGACAAAGGCAACTCTACAATGGCAGGGAGAACTGGAACTCATCAATACGGAATCCATGAGCGAGAATGAAAACAATCCAAATGAAAACGAAAAGGACATCGAAACACAGGAAACGGCACTCATCATGGGCCCCAACGTCGTACCCAACAGTGCACAGCAGCAACAACAACCAGCTACCAATACATCATCCTTCAAAAATAGCACGCTACTCATCGTTCTCGTGTGTACGGTCGGAGCCACTCTTGTGGTTGGGACGCTTGTCGTCGTGAAGAATCGACGACAAAGTGTAGAGCTATGGAGAAGTGGACAAGACAAGACAGCTGTCAACAACATTGCGTTGGACAAACCAGAAGACGATGATTGCAACATCCTCAGCAACGGCGTCGAAGAGGATGACGACAGCGAAATGGGAGCGGGCGGGGGCAACAAAACCAAGTCACAATCACTGCATCTACGAGATAGCCTGAGAGACTGTTCACGACTGCTCATGACCACAACCACGGCCGCCACGGAAGAACCCCAAGAGAGCCTCGCCACCAACATTATCGTTAATAACGGAAATCACAGCGACGAAGAACGAGGCAGCGGTACCACTAGTGGCGCCACTACACTCAATCGCAGTGGGAGCAGAAGAGCAGCAAGGACCATCAATGATACAGTCGATCTTTCCGTAAACGTGTCCAATTTCTCGTCGTCTTTCATTGGAGACATTGTCCAAGATCAGTCCTACGCGGGCCGTCAGCGACGGGACGTCGATTCCAGCAACCGAAGCAGCAACCAAGGATTCGACGACGATGACGAGGATGCACTCACGTGCCCGTCCGATTTCGAAGGCAACGCTTTTGTCGAACCCAACCTGATACCCGTCGCACACATTGATCTCGACAGCGACTTTACGCATGACAACGTACCCAACCCATTGACACCGCCCAGCCAAGTCGCATCCACACGGTCGCAGTCGCATCAGTCCGCATCGGCACAAAGCAGCAGCATGTTCTCGTCATCACTGAGTTTCCTATATCCACAGCCACCGCCACCACCACCGACTCGAGCCACACAGCAGGAAAGTGCCCCCCAAGACCCACACGCAGACCAAGAGCCAAACCCTCAAGAAGGATTCGTCCTGTCACGGCTCATGTCCGGCAAGACGGGAAGCATACTGCCCATGGCAAGTTGGGGTCTCTCCTACTTTGGAGGCGCTGCCCAAGAAGAGGACGATCCCAACATTGACAGCGATGCGTTGGCGGCATCTGATACCAAGGTCAAACCGTCGCCGGCCAAGACCCATGCCACCACCGATGCGTCGAAAGGATGGAGCAGCGAAGGAGAAGGTTACAAGACCGACGACGATAACTTTACTCTCGACAAGGCGTGGGATCCCGATGATAACAGTATGAATTCCAGTCAAAACGAAACCGACGTCTTTTCGGGAATTGAGGATGACGAAGTTCGTCTATTGAAATCCACCATGTTACATTCGGATGCACGGTAACAAGACGAGTCGTTCTGCGGAAGGACGACATCGCGAGAACTGCACCGTTACCGGTACCGGTAGTAACCCAAAGGGAACACGCAAGCGAGCAACGTGGGAAATTAGCTGCTGCCAAATCCAAGAATCCAAGAAACACACTTCACTGCAATACTTTCGTGTACATGTTCCATAATATCATGTGGCTAGCCTAGCATAACTTCAAATTGTCTAAAACATTGTGTCATAATCACTCGTAATCTCAGTCGCAATTGCTTTTCAATAGCAGAACTCGATTACAAACTGCTCCAGCCGACCGAAGTCCCCAGGGATCAAAGCGCGACGACTAGATTTGCCCCAGCACTGGAGATCCCTCTACATGTTGCCCCGGCACCGACCCCAGCACTGCAACCCCCTCGAGCGACGACTAGGTTTGCCCCAGCACTGGAGATCCCTCTACATGTTGCCCCGGCACCGACCCCAGCACTGCAACCCCCTCCACAGTAGGCCCCAGCACAGAAGATCCCTCTGCAGCTTGTCCTAACCGGAGATCCCTCAACAGTTTGCCCCAGCCCTGCAATCCCCACATGTACAACAGCCAGCCCCAGCCACAGCACTGAAGTTACCACACGTTCTGAGGGGTGCTCGGGAGTTGCTCTGGATTCTTCTTTTTGGGCCCAGGGCAGATGTCTGGCCACAACGCACGATCCGAACGCTTCTATGTTCAGGGCACGGCATTTGTCTGGCGACGACGAGCCCCAAGAAAGGAAGGAAACCCGCCTCCGCCTTTATCTCGGTCGAAGGAATTTAATCCATGTTTCCAGGTTAGACATTTTTAGTATAATTTTAAATGTAATGCATGTAAATTATGATCAACAGAGGCAAGCGTCCAAGCGTCAAAAAAATTATGCAACGAATATTATGTGCGCAAGGCAAGGCAACGATCGTCGACAGCGTGGTGCAAAACGGTGGATTCTTTGATACAAACCGACAAAAAGCCAATCGCGTAACCGATCGAATGGCCATGACAGTTCCCACGTCGTTTTGCCATCATCTCCTGGTCGCGCAACCAATACCGTACCTCCGACCGAACATCAGGATCCGTCCGTCTCTAACTCACGGCGGCACTGGAACGTCCCTTTCCTCCAAACAATTTTCCAAAGATTCCTTTCTTTTTCTTCTTTCCAGGACTGTTGTTGATGCTGCTGTTGCTGTTGTCACCATCCCATACCGGCGTCACCTGGCCCAATTCGGCAGATTGATGATGCTGTGACGCGACAGAGTACTCTTCAGCCGCCTTGACTTTTTGCTGCCACTGCTGTAGCGCACTAACCTGTTCTCGTTGTGACTGCTGCTGATGAAGTTTGGCAATTCGAGCTTCTTGGTTTTTGCGTTGTTCCTGGTTGATTCGAATGATCGAATCAATGTTTATTTCTTCGTCTAGCGTACTGGGCGGTCCGAATGGTTTTGGTGGTGCCGTGGGTTCTTCGGTAATGTTTTGCATGGGAGTTTGTGACTGTTGCGGTTGTGGCCGTGGGGGTGGTCTTTCGCGTTCAATACGAATGACGGAATCGACGTTAATTTCGGATCCAACGGGTGCTTCCAGGACACTGATACCCTTTGACTCGGATGCAGCATGTGTCCTCCATTTATCGAGTGTCCTTGGTTGTTGTCCGATGACCGAGTCGGCATTTACTTGATTTGTGATGATATCTCTCTTGGGTGCCTCTGGTTTCCATTCATGTTGATGTGCATTGATGAATCCGTCTACTGAAATTTCCCCTTGCATGCCTTGCATCATCCCAAAGGAGTCCACCGAGACTTCATTTTTGGAACTGTGGTAAGATTTGTTGTATGCATCTCTAGTGATTGGTTTGTCTGGCTGTAGAGCTTGCATCATCCCAAAACTGTCCACTGAAACCTCATTGTTAGCCACGAATTTGGGCCTTTGTTTGTTGTAAGCGTCTCTTGTGAGTGGCTTGTCTGGTTGGAGTGCCTGCATCATTCCCCAGCTGTCCACAGAAACTTCATTGTTGGGCACAAATTTGGGTCTTGGCTTGTTGCTGCCAGGGCTAGTACTAGTGGTAGTGCAGTAGTAGGTTGGGTTGCTTGCTCTTCTTGCAAGCTTGTGGTGGGGAGTTGCATGTCATATTGAAATGGCAAGTCTTCACAGATGGAAATCATGGAGGGATCTCTCATGTTGACTCCCGGGCCCCGGGAAGGCCTTTGCGAGGTGTTAGGGATAGAGTTTTGGACTGAGACAGGGGTAGGGTTATTTTCAGTGGTGTCAGGAGCATCAGTAGGAGCATCAATAGCACTTAAGCTAGACCTCATGGAAGCCACACTAGCATTTCCGCCACAAGAAGGCTCTTGGTAGACCACAGGCGCATCCACGTAAGATCCACTAGGACTACTACCATCCATAGCAGGTGGTTCGTGGAGTACCAAAGAGATGGCAGACGTAAGACCGCGTACAGGAGGAACCACCACGTCGGGGTCTTGTGTAGAATTTGTACCAGCACCAAGATGAGTCATGGACATACGGCACAAATCTGCGTCCAGCGAAATCATAGAAGGTTCGACTTCGAGGCCTCTGGTAGTAACAACGTCAATTGGCGCGCGCGCGTTTCTGTATTCTTGCTCCTCTACCGTCTCGGGCGACAAGTAGATTTCTCCTTCAGGGCCTGTGATACTGCCGCCGTAGCTACGGGCAGCAGGGGGGTCTTCCGGTGGATCCATTCCTCTCCTCATCTTGCTTCAAAAAGATTTGATTTTTTGCTTCGTGGATTTTTGCTTGCTGTTTTATGAAGGTTGAGCGAATGCGTGAGGCTGCCAGTTTGAACAAGTCAGCGAGACCTGGATATTAGCACAGTAGATCGTCCGGAACAACAACCAAAGGATCACTTGAAGCAGCAAAATCTTACGAAAACATTAGAGAAAATAAGGACGGTCTAAGTTGTGGGATGACAGTGGCGGCTTCCATAAGCACGTCAATCAAGGTGCGACACAGATCCTCTTAATCCTTCGACTGAGCCGTCGCAAATAGACGACTGGACCTCCTAAGTAAAAACCATGTACTCAAGTACAGTAACATGGAAAGATGCACAGCTGTCGTCATACACACTTCCAATAGCTCTTTCAATTTTGGCTTGGACTTGAAGCCGCTGTCGCTCGACTTGACTCGACTGTCCTCGATTTGACTCCGCATCCAAGCTCTGTTGTTTCAATCACAGCACGACATGCAAAGAGAAAATACGGCATGCACGAGATTGACAGTCCCCATCCTCCCACCTCCGCAAAGAAATGGCGGCACATCGTCACCGGATTGGGGTCCGAACATGGTTGCTGCCGCTCTCCAAAACGAGTGAATTGATCCATCAAGCAATCTTTCTGTTTCCTCTTATAGACAAGTCTGGCTATGCATGCCATAGTGGATATGCACTACAATGTAGCAAACCTCGTGCGCACATGCATGCAGACTACACGGATTGGAAACGCAATAGCACTGATAAGAATTTTTTGCAAGTCTGACGGAAAGATATGGTATTTCTGTACTAGCTAGTACATGTACCAGGACCGGGAAGTGATCATAAGTGTAGTTCAAACAGTTTATTACTCTACCACTCTACCAGATTCTAGCTAGTAGCTATGACGCAGTCTCGTACACCTGAAACTCAGCAGAACGTGACAACATCTCATTCGTCGCTGCAGCCGATTGTTTCACATCGTCGTGTTCTTCGTCGCTGATATCGCAATGGATAGAAGCTTCTTCGTCAGCATCATCCTCGTCCACGTCGATAAGCGAGAGACCACTCCCAGAACTGTGGAGCGAATGCGACGCTGCGGCACTATCCGATTCGCACGTACTGTTCCAGCACAATCCGAAAGACGCACCGCTGTCGCTGCTACGATAGTGATCACTGGATTGATGACTCGAGGACACCACCGATTTGCCGTCCGAATGGCCGTCGCCAGTACTGCCATGATGGGACAACTGTTGCTCCACATATTGACGATACGAGATAAAGTCTTGCACCATGGCGCACGTGTTGGCCTTGCCTGTTTTCATGTCGTCCGGCAAATAATTGGATAGATCAGGCACGTCCATCAAATACTTCGAAACCTTGGACTCGGGAATCATCTTGACGCGTTTTCGGAACGAAGGCGCCAGCATGGGACGCATTATCTTCCAAATGACTCCAAACCAACTTGGTGGGTTCACAATCAGGAACAGCTTCACCTTGACGGGAATCATGAACCCTTGCAACGCCATCATGAACTGGTAACAGTAGTTCACGTCGAAATTAGACATGCCCCAATCGTCCATGTTCGCCATGAATCCAATCCCATGTTCACAAGCATGCGCGTTGTTTTCCATCATGCTGTTCATCACGTAGCACAAATTGTTGATGATCATCTTGGTCGAAGTTGCGTGTGGAATAAATCTCGACGGGCGCATGTAGAACATTCCGTGCCCATCCTTGGTTTTGAGTTGAGGAATGGGAAACAGCGTCTTGGTCTCTAGTTGGTGAATCAGTCCGTGAACATTGAGCGTGACGTATCGCTTGGACAACTTCTTTTCGGCACTCCATGCCTTGTCCTTTTGGAAGCGATACAAGTGCAGGAATCGCAAGTGCCACTCGTCCGACAACTCCATGATATCTTTTTTCTTGTTTTTGCTGCGAATTTGGTTTCCCCATCCGTACTTGGCGACGAGTTTGTCTTGTCTATCTTCCCATCGTTGTTTGAGGGTATGAAATGCACTGCGCTGTTTCGGTTCCAGCATCCGGACTTGATCTTCGATGGACACTTGATTGCTCGGCGGTGCAAAACGCATGGGTCCTTCCCCAAGCATTTTGAGTAGTTCTTGGTAGAGAATATCGGCAGTGGTGGGAGGCGAAGGTGGCCGAGCAGCGTCAGCGGGTACATTTTCCAAGTCAATGATGAGGCAGTTCATCATTTCTGGATTGAGCACCTGCGAGGCTCGTAGCACTTGTGCATCTAGAATCTCCATGTGCTGGTCAACCGGTGTTTCGGAGAATAGCGAATGACCGGAATCGTGTCCAGCACGGCTGCTGTGGAAGCCACTTTGGTAACTGCATTGATAGCTGTCGTAAGCCGATGGCTGGTGATTGCTGCCAGACGCTACCAATTGCCCTACATCCAAACTGGATGCTCTGCCCAGCTCTGTGGGCTGCAGTGCGGCAAGATCCATGCTGGTTCGTCTGCTTCCAGCGCCGCCACCGCCGCCATGCGCACCGCTTTGTCTTCGTGCGGCAGCTGCCGAACTACTTCCAAAGCTCATTCTCCGCATAAAGGCACTGCTATCTTCTCCATGAAATGTGTTGGAACGTCTGGGTTTTGGCGGTGGCGGTGTTGCTCTTGATTTTTGTTTGGCGGCAAACATTCTCCATGAGCGTTGGCGTGGAAAATTGGGTGGTGGTGAAACGTTGGAATCCTGTTCGTGGCGGTGGCCGTGTGACATGCTGTGGTTGCGGTAAACGGCAGGTTGCTGTCGTTGTTGCTGTTGCTGTTGCTGTCGTGGTTGCGGTTGGGCTGTTCCATATCCGAGATTGTTTGCGAGTTGGAGTTGTTCCTGTTTTCTTTTGAGTTCATCTTCCCAAGCCTTCAATTTTGCCGCTTGTTCAGCCAATCTTGCTTCCTGCAGTTGTAATTCCTGTTGTTTGAGTGTGAGTGATTCTCGTTCTTGTTCGATTTTGTCTTCGTCAACTACGACGGCCGCTACGGCCAGGACTTGTTCTTGTGGTTGTTGTTCGTTGGATGGATGTGAGCTAGGTTGTTGTAGTTGATGTTGCTGCTGTTGGCTGGATATTGGGAGGCTTTGAAAGGACGAGTGTAAGTGGTGTTGGTCAGCTGCACTCGTAGACCACAATTCGTGTGCCGAAGTGGATGCAGATGCAGATACGGATACAGATTGCGTTTCACTGAAACTGCCCACCGATGAAACGGACAGTGTGTTTGAAAGTTGTCTTTCAAAGCTGGGTCCAGGAACGCACCAAGCTCCAGGCGTCTGTTCATCTGACTGCTGCAGTTGCCCTTGCTGTTGGTTTTGCTCTGATTCATCATGAGTTTCTTGTGTTTCTTGCAGAGAGTTTGAATTGTTTGAATTGTTTGTGTTGTTTGTGTTGTTTGCCAGCTGCTGTTCAAGGTTTTGAATGGATGCAATTTGGTTCCTGACTTGCATTTTCTTTTGCTGTATTAGTGCTGCTGTATCTGCATCAGTATCATAGTCAGTCTGAGTATGTGTTGGTGTTGATGTTGGTTGTTGTTGAAGAGAAGGCATGCTATCGGCAGTATCTTGCCTTCCTCTTTGAGCTAAAGGAGACCTTTTATGGTGTCTGGTAGCTGTAACATTGGCTTGCTCTTTTTCCCTTCTGACCTTAGCTTGTGCCTGAGCCTGAGCCTGAGCCTGAGCCTGTGCCTGGGATTGACTGGATGATGCTTGTGCTTGAGACTGAAGACTGTTGATTGATGCAGCATTTGCAGCATTTGAAGGCTGGTTTCTTCTGCTGTTGGGTCTTGCTCTGATGTACCTGTTTGCACTTCTGCTTGTGTTTGAATTCATACTGGACCTGGAATTGGCAGTGGTGGCACTGGTGGCTGACAGCCTGTCTTTGTCTTTCTTGGCTCTTGCTTTGGCTTTGGCGCTTTCATCTTCATCTTGGGTTTGCTGACTTTGACTTTTCTGACTTTTCTGACTTTGACTCTTATCATTAAATCTTCCACTTTCATCGTCAAAGATCTGCTGCCAATAGGCTGCTGTGGTACATGTACTAGTACTAGTACTAGTAGCTTCTGTACCGGTACCAGCAGTTCTACCACCACTACCTGTACTGGTGGTGGTAGCAGTAGTGCCAGCAGCATCAGCAGTGGAGGTATTAATAGCACTCATAGCACTCATAGCACTCATTCCCATGGGCACTTCCTGCTGCTCTGCTGAGGGAGTCATGGTATGGTAGCTTAATGGAGCTTAATGGAGCTTAATGGGGGTATCAGGGGTATCAAGGGGTATCAAGGGGTATCTGGTAGATTAATGGAACTGAGGGTATACTGGTAGATTGGATAACAGATAATAGCTCTGTTATTCTTAGCTTGGGTAGCCTGAGTAAGGAGTCAGCCCAGACCAAGTCTTGCTATGGTATAACAGCTTCTATTCTCTTATTCTCTTGCTCTATTCCGTTGTTCCAATCATTCATTCATTCATTCATTGCTGCTGAGTGGGAGCAAGCACAGCACAGACAGCAATTGGGTCGCTGTGTGTTTCTATTTTCTATCGATGGCAAAACCGCCGGCTAAACCTGACCTGAATGACCAGCCAAACGAACTACTTACTTGCTGACTGCTGACTGTACAGATACCGTAAACGTGGTCGCGTCGACTTGGTGACTGTGGGACATTGAGGACATCCCTAGCTACTAGCTAGAATTTCACTGGGTGTCAGTGTGAAAGTACAGACTGACACTGACTCGACTCACATACTCCTCCTCTATCTGTCCTCTGTACGAATGTACTAGCTAGCTAGTAGTACTCAGAGTAATGGCCAACAGCTTGGCCAACACATACCGGTACACCAACAGCAAACAGGAACACACAGAAAACAGAAAAGACTGCATGTAAAAGAACACTTTAACCAGCAGGAACAACAAGACATCGACAGGCACACCAGTACCAGAATAAATACTGAAGGGGAGTTGAAGGAAATATATATTCAGTTTACAGACATACGGAGTTACCACTGACTAGCTGACTATCCCTAGCATACATGTAGTCTAGTCGGGAGCCTTCGGCACAGTCCGACAGGATCTGCCATGAAAATTACTTTAGTGTGCCCTTGGCTGCCTCTCTGTGAGCTCAACCCTTTTAAGCTGTAGCACGAAGGGCGGACCATACCGTAGCCAGCGGTAGATTATGCAGGCCACGCTGCCACTTCTTTCTCTCTACTGGGGTGTTGTTTATCGCATCCTGGAGTTCCTGTAGAGAGGGACAGTGACATAAGCGGATTGGGGGGATTCGATTCAAGTTATTGCCCAAGGCTTCGGCTGCAGCAAAGGAATGGTGGTATATTGGAAACCTGAGCGCTTCTAGCTACCGGTAGCTATGCCAAACCTCCATCACATTTTGAAAGAAGATCATTGGCCATTGGCTATTCATTACATGTACATACCGGTACGTTGCGCTCCGCCTGCAAGTACAACTCTGGATGCTGCTACCGGGTACGGGTACCACCTGCTAGCTATGCATAGAACTGAAGGCTATTTTACTCCAACTCCCTCAATCAACAGCTGTACTTTGGACATTCTCAGACCACAATAATTCCTGAATGGCAATTGAACTCACTGCTTACGAAATGAAGAACCGATGCCATCCCAATGAAATTCAACAGGCATACTGAGTATTAAAAAACTCAAGTAGTGAATAGTACTCCGAGTACCGGTACGGCGAGTAGATGAATAGAGTAGAGCTATAAGCTATCAGTCAAACTGCGAATGGTGCCTGGATGAAAAACTCAAGGTCATCTTTTCATCTTTTCAGCTCTTCAAGTCTTCATGTGAGTGACGAGTCATCATCATGATCAAAAGTACCAGGTACGGTAGAAACGCCACCGGTGGCATGGGTTGTGTACCTTCTTTAGTTTCATAAAGCTGCTGGTGTAGTGGCGTAGACAAGTGGCTGGACTCTTCACTTTGCTTTGCTTCCTCTCAATTACAGTACGGGTACGATGTACTCGGAATTCTGAGAAGGGCAGCTATCCGGATTGCTACAGTACCCCACAGGTACATGTACTACTAGCCGATTCGATTCATTCGGGCAAGTCGCCGCTGGCTAGCCAGCCAAAGGAGACCCTTTGTAGAAACGAAGAATACAGCAATCCAGAGGCAACAGACGCAGTGGAATTCTTCTTTTAAAAAGCCTGCCTACTACCACTGGCTGGACTGGCTGGACTTGGAGTTCATCGTGCCCCAATTTCCAAGCCAAAGTCTCACCTTCCAACTTCCAAAGAGGAAAGGCCAAACGTGGACTTCATACCGGTATGGATTCTTATTACTGGATAGAATTGAATCGAATCTCCACATGTAGTAGCCACTGCTCTCCAGCCGAGCCGCCCCTCTTGTCGTGTCGAGAACAACAGAACCAGCTGATCATGATACCGTAGAAACGAGTAACTGCCCCGATCGAGCGATCAATCGATAATGGCTGCATGGCTACCGGTATAGCTCTTGTGCTTCTGGAAATAGGTTATATCACAATGAGTTTGACTGAAGGTTTGCAACCTGGATGAACAAGGTCACTTCTGATTCGTAGTTTGTGCATTGCCTTAGCCGCAGGTCCATGCACATGTACATGTATGTACAGTCGTGCAGCTCCAGTGACGAGGGACCAGTACTTCATAGTCGAGTGACGCGCCGAGCCGAGTCGAGTCGGAAAAGGTGTATTGTGACAGCTTTTGCATCATCCTGCGTAACGTTTTCGTCAAGGCGACTTCGATTAACCCACAAGATCTCGTCGAAAGATCCAATATGACCGTGGGATCTCTGTTCCGCCAAGCACGGATAGGAGCCAATCCGGATAACCCGACGACCCCATGCATGCTTCTGGAATCGAGGCAATGGATGTACATGTGTTCTGCCACACCAACTAGCTTGCTAGCCAGAGTACTGCGCTGTTACCCAGCCTGGGCGGACCACGGTCATAGCTCCAGCCGCAAGATCTCTTTCGACATTCAGCAGCTACTTTTGCAGTAGCTGGTGCGGTAGCTATCTAGTTCGTCCCTGCACGACCACAGCCACTCTTCACTTGAACCACGACCATGGCGTTGAGAACGTTCGGACGATTGCTGCTGGTGACAGCGCTGTTTCTAGCACCTTCGTGTCACCCACGGCATGGTGTCTTGGTGGTTGCGGGAGATACCGGTAGCAATGAGGATGTCGACGAAGACAGCTCGAGCGACGGTGTGCCTACGAGCAGCGGTAAAACGGCGCAAGAGAAGCAAGACGTCTTTCTCCAATGTCTCAACAGTATGTTCCACGCCGACAAGGACTTGGACGATGCATTGAACATGGAAGAATACAAGCTCTTTCTCAAGTACTTTTCCAGTCAACTCTATCCACATCCGATCTTCCACGATGGCTACGTCACCCAGCAAATCAGGGAACTATTCAAGATCCTCGTACAAGCCAGTGGCAATGGAGAACGAGGAATCTCCATCAACGTTTACGGAAGCAAAATCGAGCAAATGCCAAACCTAGAGGAAGAACAGTTCGATACGCTACAGTCCATGTGCTCCATGACGGAAAACGGTGCGTACGACCCTAGCTACGACCCCCTCAATGAAGCAACGACCTGACCTTGTTTTAACTTTGGTTTCTCACATGCATGCATCGTCGCTCCTGTTCTTTTTCTCTTCCCTTTGGTTGCAACTGTCTCGTCGCTCCTTGCTGCCCTCCTGCTCCCTCCTGTTTCTGGCTTGGTGCTATTGTGCTATCTGCAATCTACGTGTCTTTCCTGTCATGTCAGCGTTCAAGCTTTTGGCATCCAGAACAGAATCGGCAAGTGACCTACCCTAGTAGTGTATTTCATACTGTAGACCAACCCAAACTTCTTGTTCATCCAATCTAACAAAGCTGTTCTTTGTCGTGCCTGATTACCGTAGCCCAAAGTCATGGTTTTCCAGTTTGAAATGATGGAACCACGGGATGGGGACTCGGGCGATGGAATGCATGTCAAGATCAAGCCGTTACTGCGAGAGACTGGACAGGCAAGACATGGACAACAGCCCAAAGGACTATTCGGGCCCGGAGACAAGGAACGGACTCCGGAAGACTATGCAGCTACGGAAGAGCCACAAGAAGATGACTTCTTCGTAGAGCTTCGCAAAGAAATGGATGAGCTGGAAGGAAACAATACCAACACCACAGAGCCTGATGGCAATCTCACCAACACCAGCAGCATACTGGACGAGTACCTAGACGCCCTAGACGCATACCTGAACAATGACACTAACCTGAACAATGACACAGCACCTGCGCATCACCCCAACACGACCAATGCTACATTTCTCAACTCCACTTCCAATGGTGACGTCCTCGTCTTGGATGACGATGACGATGACGATTCTGTATTCAATGTCACAATGGATGATGACATTGTCTCCTCCATTCTCCAAAACGAGACCAGCCCGGATCCAATCCTCAACAAGAGCAATGTAGTACAAGCCATCAACGCCACGAACGATGACGTTTTCGTGGACGATGATACATTTGATGACGACGGAGTGTTCAACAGCACAACTGATATCATTATATATGACGATGATTACGGAGGCGTCAATGAAACAACGCTGGACAAACCTAACACTACCGCTCCTGAGGTTGGAAATGTGACTGGAGCAACCAACGAGACGAATGAGACCACGCTTCCACAACTACATTCGGGGTTCACGAGCAATGTGACAATCAATGCAAACAGCAACTCTTCGGGGACAAGCTTTGACGATGACGATGCTATTGCTTGGAATGAATCCTATCGAGAGATACAGTACCAAAAGAACAAGAAGGAGCTAGAAGAGTGGAAGAAACAAGTACTGAAAGAAAAGAAACGAATCCATGACGAACATGTGGCAAAAAAGAAACACGATAAGGACGCTGCCAAGGCAAAGGCTCCCCAACGAAAGAAAGAAGCGGAGGAAGAGCAGCATGACAAGAATGTTACCAGAGTTCCACACAACGACACCAACACAACAGGGCTACATCTTCACATCAACACTTCGTCATTGCCCTTGCACCTCAACATGACGAAACTGCACATGCACCTCAACGACACGGAGCCAATGCGACCAGAAGACGACGACGATGATGACAAAGATGATCTTGTGGTGAATTCAATCGAAGATCCTTACGAGTACATCGGGAACATGACAATACAATTCAATCTCACAACCGAGACTGACAGTGATGTTCTCAATCTAACCATGGATGAGCTCTTGAACGAAATCTTTGACGACGACGACGACGATACTGTCGTGATTGACGAGGATGGCGAAGACTCACAAATACTTTCAATACATACCTCGTTTATCATCTCCAACACCCACGGGAAGAAGGATGTGGACGTTCCAATCAATTCAGACAGCACGCTTCACAAGGCCTTTGGCGACTTTGTCGTACTCCTCATTGGCACTGTTTGCGACAAAGCAGGAGTGGGAAGGAACTATGGGAACTGCACTGTCACTGATCACACCGAGGCTTCCAAGGCAAACATGAAAGAGTCCAAAGAAGACAAAGCGGTTGAACCGGATGAGCGTCAAAGGCGGTTGTTGCACAGTGGAGAACGAGAGCTCGTGGAGGGCGCAAAATTCAGGTACGTTGGGCCGCGTTCTGGGCGTGATCAGCCCTTTCCGCTTCTCTCACCTTTGTTCCTCTCTCCTTATAGGGAACGTCATGGCGTCAAGTTTGACTACACGGTGCTGAATCCTGAATTGTATGAGATTCTCGATGTCGATTGCCCTGTGCGTATCGCAGGCTTGCGTACGTCTTTGATAGCGTCTGTTACGTGCGAGTGATTTGCGATTTGAGTTAAGTGTCCAACACATTTCCTTTGTTACTGTTGCACTCTTATGATGCCTACAGATGACATGCTGCAATGCCAGACAGTCTACGCGCACTATAATCTTCTTCTGAAGCACCTTGACGGTCACCTGGAAGAGATTGAGAAGAATTACATGATGATCACTTGGAAGGGTATCCGCGAGGGCAGACTGGACCGAAGCTTGTTAGTGATGAATCCAGAAACTATTTTCGCAGTGGAAGGTATTGGGCACAACGTATTCCCATCAAGTCACAGGCACCATGGAGTGCATGGGCGCGACAAGCATAAAAAGAAGGCAGGTGCAGCAGCTGATGCCAACGGTCAAAATGAGACGGACACAGAGAGTCGAAGAAGGATCCAGAGCGCACCGGAAGATGACTTGGAGGACCTCTACCTGGCCGAACTGCTTGCAGAGGAGGGCCATCGCCCCCAGCAGACCAGGTCGCTGAACAGAGAAGGTACCGGTACCTCTGATGAAGAAGACTTGATCGAGTCTGCAAAACGTACGAAGAATACCGCAGGTGGTTGGACAAGTAGCGCAGTATCGTCTTCATCAAAACTGGCACTTTTGGCAATCCTGATAGCCCTCATCAACGCTGCGGGAATCTTGTTATAGCTTGAACGAGTGCGCAATGGGGCATTGACATGGTTCACATATTTTGTGGCGCCATGCCAGTTTGTTGCGTTGTGGTCCAACTAATTTAGTTTTACTTTGCATGATGCTTTGACTCCATTCGATAACCAACTAGCCAGGCAGTCAGTTACCGATCAAACAATCCCCTCAAGCTCTAGCTAGTCATAGTTCGACTCGACTCGAAGAAGGCTCCAGCTTCAACGGAATGCCGGCTTCTGACAGCTGTCGAACGCCTTCTGCTTGTTGTGCCCTCCATTGCTTCTGGTAGCCTTCACTTGGCCCAGTCACCCAACGCGGCCATGGGACAACATACCTTTGTGGGGCTTCTGTCACTTGAACATTCGGAGGTGCGGCTTTCAAGTGCTATCGGACTAACAAAGGGGTAGTCAAGAGAGAAAGGGTAACCTGAGTGACTACAAGTTTGTTAAAAATCAAAAGAGTGCATCCTTATTGAATTGCTTTTGGTGGTACCGGTACCGCCTTATAGTTGCGGCAAACTCTTGTTTCTCGTTCACGGCTCCCCCGAAGCTTTGGCAAGCACAAGGGGTTCCTGCATTCGTCGATCTTAATCTTTTAAAGCTAAGCTCCGGCCGCGGCGGCAGTATCCTTATTGACCTGCTTGTCGGTTGCCTTGGTGCTTTCCACGGTGTCATTGCTTCCGTCAGCAGAGCGATGCCGCCGGACCCGATCGCGCCTGCTGCTGCTACCCATGCTCTTGGTGCCGTCAGTAGACTTGTGTCTTCGAACTTTCTTGGTTGCGCCGTCAGTGGATCGATGCCGTCGGGGCTTGTTTGTACTACTACTGGTGCCGTTTCTGGATGCTTCTTCGGATGTTTTAGTGATTCGTATCTTGGGTGTAGTGTCTCGTTTGCAGGCAAGCAATTTTCGCGTGGACTGTCCCCGTTCACTGAGTGACGTGAGTAGGTTTCCTCGAATGCTTTGCGCCCTGTGCATCATTCTAGGTCGTTGTGGTCCGGTCGTTGAAGTTCTTCGGTTGTTGGGTGTGGTGGGTGTGTTCGTTGTGGAGGTTCTCCTGTTACTGTTAGTGGGCCGTCCAGATTGTGTACGAGCTTCTTTGCGTTCATCCTTGCGCTCGTCTTTTTGGTCTAGGTTTGGTTCTTGGGTAGCTTTGGTTTCTGCGGGATTGGCACCATGACTGCTGCTTTCCGAAGAAGAGCTCAAGCTTTCATCTTCTGTACATGTAGCATCCTCCGCAGTGGCTTGCTTTTGCTTCTTTGATTCTTCCGCGTCTATCTTCTTTTCCTCCGGAACGGTTGGCTTCCTTTGCCTTCGTTCTCCCCTGGTGGATGTTCGCCTGGAAGTGGAAGCAGACCTGCTCTTGGAGTCTCTGGTGGAAGAGCGCCTGGATGTGCTCCTTCTCCTGCTGGAAGTGTTGCTTCGGCTGGACGTATTGCTCATGCTGGTTGTCGTGGAGGATCTGCGTGTGGAGGATCTTCGGCTGCTCCTGCTTTTGTCTCTGTTGCTGCTGCTTCCCATGGGTGATTGCGCTTTGACCGGGCTTTCGGTTTCCCCTCGAAGCGAGCGCCGGATCCTTGGCTCGGTTTGTGTCTTGACAAGACTCCTTCGGGACTGCATTCGACTCATTTGATTCCTTCGACTGACCGCCATCCGTTTGTCGGTGTTGACGGACAGACCATCTTCTTCCTCAGGAATAGAGTTAGAGTGTTCAGTCACTCTCTTTGGATCAAACTGCAGCCCATTTTCCTCGGTGAACTGTAGACCACCGCTGTTGGTCAAGTCTGTGAAACCTCTGTCTTTCTGCAACTCTCCCAAGACGGAGTCATCGAGCGACCGCTGCTTGTTGCCATTGCCAACGCCATTGCCAGCAGGACCATCTAGATTTCGAAAGGAAATGTTAAAGGACTCGTTGTAATCGCTGTCTTCCATCAGAGTGGCGCCATATTGAGGACCTCCCGTTACCAAATGACGAATGCTCGCGAGCTTCCTCATGCTCTGCATGCGACCAAGGCCTCCGACGCTTCCGCGCATCAGACTGCGTCGTTTATCTTTGTCTTCGTTGCCACCCATTAGTAAGTGCGCCGTCATACTACTACACTTCAATTCTACTAGCTAACCAGTAGTTACTAGCTAGCTACTCAATAGCTACTTTGACCTTTGTTGCTTGTGGTTGTTGGGATAATAAATGAGGGCACAAAGAGCACAGGAACGAAGCCAAGCGGACGTGGAGAAGTCCCAGCCTCCATGCAATAAGAGTGTTCCTAAGCGATTCCTTTTTGTTTATTGATGGGAGGCATTGAGAGTCTTGCAAACCCAAAGGCGTTTAAGGCTGCCAGATTTTGCTAAATCCTGAGAATGGGGCAAAGTCACACAAGTTCCTGAGGTCATGGTTGCAAGGGAACAAAGGCTAAGTGTATTAATTAATAGTGGCAAATTTTGTCCATGACTGAGTCATTATGATCAAAAGCAGCCTTTCAGCCACATATGAACTTCCCCTGACTTCATACTCTGGAGCTCTGGAGTACTCCGAGAGCTCCCTCGGTAGTACCACTGAGCATACTGGAGGCCTTTAGCGTTGAATGCTGGTTTGCAGATTTAGAGGGATGTTTCCTATGCCACAAGCGGTACATTCAAATGCAGTAGAGCTGCTGAACACAAGGATATCACCATGTTCAACCTGTTCCTCTCGAACTGGGCTCGGATAACGTACCGGTATGGAGAACCTCAACTGTCATAGATTTGGCCGAATGCGTGCATGGGGCTGCCATCGCCTGAGCTTCCTTGAAAACATTCATCTTAGCAAAGCATTCTGGCAAGGAGGAATGAATGCATGCAAGGAGACTACGAGCTACAGACGTTCTACGTGGTGCTAGACGCACCGCTGGGTTCGGTAGCGTTGCTTCCATTAAACCACTCTTGTGAAGTTGCCTGCCAGTACCGGTACCGAGACTGGTACTGGTACTGGTACTTGTGGCATTGGTGCGACTGACTCACTGCCTACGGTATGCCACTGAAACGATAGAACCACCGCTGCACCTCCATTGAAACCATGGGGATCTGAGTACCGGTACCGGCATTTCCAAGGACGAGCTATGAGCTATCGTCAGATCGTCTCTGCATGCTTCCATCAAATGATGTCTAGTTAGGGCCAGCCATTGGCAGAAACAGCCAGTCGTTCTAGGTTGAGTCGAGTCCTAGCGTTTGCCGAAATGCATGTACAGGACGAGAAAAGACTCGTCAGTAAGTTGCACTAGTGCGTGTGTGTACTGTGGTTTCTCAGTCACATGCACAGTTCTCTACGTCCATTCTTGATTCATCCATAGTTGTCCTTTCTTGATTCTCTTCCCCCGAGCAGAGCTTCATCACCTGCAAGCATCGGTACTGATTTGATTCACTCAGTTGTTGTTGCCGTGTCATCGCCGGCCAAAGCATCCAGTCTGGCAGCAATAGGATCAAGCTGGTCTTGCCAGTAGTTGTTCCGATCAATTATGTTGCTGCGGAGCCATTGAACCAGAACACGGATACATGGATGGAGTTGGCCATCATGATCTTCAATCGTCTCTAGGTTGTCGCGTGTTTCGTTCATCCAGTCCGGGCGCAGCTCGATGGTCAACTCCTGCTCCTGGACAGCCAAGTTCGCGGCAACAGCCAACTTGTCAAGAGTGTCACGAAGACGCCCCTGATTCCAGTTTACGCCAGAAAGCTCAGTACGCAGCGTCTGCATGACTCCTGGATCAACTCGTACAAGAGAAACAAGAACCCGCATTGAATGCATTCCGTCGATGTTTGCTGCGACAAGCGGTAGCAGACCCCGATTGTTTGACACGCGAAGAGCCTGAGGACTCTTTTGAGCCAAGTAATGGATGGTGGCAAGGGGCGTCTGTGAATGTCTGCAAGCTTCGTGAAGCGGCACAGACCCAAAATTATTAGGTGTCTGAAGAGCCTGAGGGCTCTGTTGGGCCAAGTATTGGATGGTTGCAAGGGGCGTCTGCGGAAATCTGCAAGCAACGTGGAGCGGCAACCGTCCTTCATTGCTAGGTGTCTCAAGAGCCCGAGGATTCAACTCAACTAGGCATTGAATGACGGCGGGTGGTGTCGTTTCATCTCGGCAGATTCGATGGAGTGGCAAAAACCCATTAATGTCATTTGTCACTTGAAGGACTTCGGGGTGTTGCCGTGCCAAGTATATCGAAGTTCATCCAAGAAAGTCAGAGAGAACCAAGGAGTGCAGCTCTTAAGCAACGCCACCTGGAATGGCAGCAGCCCCTGGGTGTCTTGCACTTGCAAAGCCTGTGGATACAACTCAACCAGGAATTGGATGACTCGACTCGTAGTTGTGTCTCGGTGTTGGCACATGCACGATGGAGTAATAACCGGCCCGAGTTGTCGGGAACGCGCAGGATTTGCGGATCAAACATTACAATGCGCTTGGCAACCTTGAGCTCTTCCTCTGATGAAAAACGTTCAATGATGGCATGTCGCATAAAATGAAGGTAAGGCGATTGTACGATATTGCCACAACGGTATTCTTGTCGTAATAGCCGCACGTGGCCAGTGCTCGAGAAGACGTAGTCCCATCCCACGTCGGCAACTGTTCGGAGCTTCCACGTGCCAATGCTGTCACGAATCATGACAACGTACTCGCCAGCAACAGGTACAAACTTCTTGGTATCCTTCAATGTATTGAAAGAAAAGGGGTACCGATAATTGAAGCAACCCCACAGCTCTTGTACATCTACATCCGAGCCAACCATTCCTTGGGGTGGATCTTTGTCGAGGAACATAAAAAAAGTACAAATCCAAGAACCACGCCAGACGTCGTAGACTTGTGGTGAGAAAGATGGTGGCTGCGAGAGCATACGTGTTGGAGTGCAGCACCCACATGCTGCCAAGTAAGCGTGCCAGGTTGATGCTCAACGTTTGATATTCTAGCCCCAATCGGTACGGCGTCATTGCGTAGAATACCAGTGCAGCCAAAGCAGGGAACCCAAGACCCAAAAGCATTGCAAGCAATGTGCGGGAAAAGACGGCCCCATTTCCCGTGTGGGCGCTGAGACTGTCTTGATCGGTGTCGGTGGTCTGGTGGGTCTGGTGGGGGGCTGCAGTTGCTTGACGGATCATGTATCTGTTGATCTCGAACTGCAGCATGATGGATAGGACAATGGCCAAGCTTGCCATGGTGAAAACGATGACAGAAGTATTCGTTGGCCGGGAACCCTCCTTATAGTCCAAGGTGTGCAAGG